TTCCACTCATCACACGGAGAATATCACCCATGCGCTTGTTTCATTCACAGCAACCGACACCTAACCCAAGATTCGTACACTCACGTCGCCTACGCTCGACCGTCAAACACCACTTAACCTATTGTTTTCACAAGCGAAAGGGAAACTAGATAACAGATACACAGCCACACTGATATAAGTATAGTGATACCGAGGCGTAATAACCACTCCACACCTACCAGGTCACAAGATGAATTCGACAGGCTTCTGAATTCAGAACTCGACGGATCTGTCAGGTTGTCCGACCAACGCATCGGTGTTGACAGCTCCTCGATGTAGATCACGAATTCCACGTCCAACATCGTTGGCACTACAAATGAGAACGAAAAGAGAGATGAAGCAACAGTTTCAGCATCACGATTTCCGTCACGTCAATTCACTAAATCTAAGCATCGACTTACTCCTCTACTAACTCACAATCACATCGATACATTCCATCACACATGCAATGCATAGCTATACACCTATATATAGTCCATCCTTCCAAAACACATCCACATTCACAATCACGCTCAGACTCATGAACAATCACAGGCACGCGCGCGCATTCACACACAATCGAGCAGGCGAGAAAGCAAGCAAACAACAACCACAACAACAAATTCTTCTTCATCATCATCGTCATCATCAACAGCAGCAGCGGCAGCATCAGCAACGACAACGACAAGGCCAACAACAACAACAACACAAACACAAAGAAGCAACCATCATGAAGTCAGTGTTGACTACGAGGCTTCACCTCACATTCTATTTGCGAAGACACGCTCACTTACAACATCAGCATCAATCATCACACCAGTCGACTCTAGTCCCCTCAATCCTGACAAAACATCCATCTTTCGCGTGCAAATGCATGTCGAAGTGTCTACGAAACAAATGTGACTGGGAAACTGTGAACCTACCCAAACTTGTGGCAGTCGATGATGGTGTAGTGAACTGTCTTGAGATACTGGCATCACTCAGCTCAGGTGTGCTCCGCACAGTTGAAATTCTTGCCGACGAACCTGTGTGGCAGTAGAAATAAAACAAAAACACAACATATACACAGAGAATTAGGATTGAACTACTCGTCATCACTTCGAAAACATCTCAAAATGAGTTCACAATCTGTGTCACCGCGATCACGTGGCATCACGAACACAAAGCTCCACAACAGACAGCAACAAGTCATCATTCTCACCACCACCTCGTTCAAACCACATGGTCGTCACCTCCATCCCCATCAAACAAAGCTATCCATCAGTCATATCGAACCAGACGAAACAGTCGTTTTCACTCATCATTCCCACGCCTGATTCCCATGTCGGTGTTAACACACGCACAAGCACAAGCACACATGTGCACAGGCAAACATTCACGCACACACGGACAAGTGGACGAGTGGACAGAAAGCCAGCAGTCCAATCGACAAGTGAGAAGAACATGCTGAAGACAGGCGGGATGGTAAAATTAACCCCACGCCACCTGTCTCACTGCATAGCACAACACTCCATTCAAATCCACCATTACATGCGCAAAACACAATGACTAGTGACTCACGATATGATGTGACGTTTCTCAGACTCGGTCCACTGGAAATATTCAGCCTGCTGAAACCCTGGATCAGAAAATCTGTGAAATCATCGTCACTCAGCTCTGCGGCCTTCCGTGAGAGCAGCTCAACGGTCACAACAGCTCGCACACCGTCCATTGACACATGCTCAATTCCCGTGCTTGTGTTCCCAACACTCAACCCAATCCAGATAAGGATTCGAATGAAGACGACATTGACACAAGTGGCACCTCGAGATATCTCTTCGTCAGCCAGTTGTAGGCATCGTAGCAGCTGGAAGATAAAAGACGAGAATCAGAAGGTAAGCGCAATCAGTCATGCTTCCTTCATATCAAATGGTTGTGTACTATCATGAATTCCCTTCCCACTTCGATTGACGTGATTATGCTGATTAGTGTGAACAGGCTTCTCACCAGTTACCACGAGGACAGATCTTCTGACACAGAGAAGCCTGTCAGATTCCCGACGTCTTCACCACTCAAATCACCACAGTCGGGTTGGTGAAATCGAAACTTCACCTCCGAGAATGGCAGCTGAACTCACTCAACACTGAACCAGTCACACGCACAACTGCTTACTCAGACAATAATCCTGCTTCTCTATGCCTCATCGACGCAGACATTCACACTTCCCAGACACACTCCTCTGCATCCTATAACAATCAGTGTACTCCACACTGCCCCTCTCCAACTCAGAATGCAATAACAACTCGTCCTACTCACTCCGTCTCTACTATTCTCTGTCGAATCGCCTACACTCAAACAACTCAGTCAACCAGTTCCCTTCCACTCATCACACGGAGAATATCACCCATGCGCTTGTTTCATTCACAGCAACCGACACCTAACCCAAGATTCGTACACTCACGTCGCCTACGCTCGACCGTCAAACACCACTTAACCTATTGTTTTCACAAGCGAAAGGGAAACTAGATAACAGATACACAGCCACACTGATATAAGTATAGTGATACCGAGGCGTAATAACCACTCCACACCTACCAGGTCACAAGATGAATTCGACAGGCTTCTGAATTCAGAACTCGACGGATCTGTCAGGTTGTCCGACCAACGCATCGGTGTTGACAGCTCCTCGATGTAGATCACGAATTCCACGTCCAACATCGTTGGCACTACAAATGAGAACGAAAAGAGAGATGAAGCAACAGTTTCAGCATCACGATTTCCGTCACGTCAATTCACTAAATCTAAGCATCGACTTACTCCTCTACTAACTCACAATCACATCGATACATTCCATCACACATGCAATGCATAGCTATACACCTATATATAGTCCATCCTTCCAAAACACATCCACATTCACAATCACGCTCAGACTCATGAACAATCACAGGCACGCGCGCGCATTCACACACAATCGAGCAGGCGAGAAAGCAAGCAAACAACAACCACAACAACAAATTCTTCTTCATCATCATCGTCATCATCAACAGCAGCAGCGGCAGCATCAGCAACGACAACGACAAGGCCAACAACAACAACAACACAAACACAAAGAAGCAACCATCATGAAGTCAGTGTTGACTACGAGGCTTCACCTCACATTCTATTTGCGAAGACACGCTCACTTACAACATCAGCATCAATCATCACACCAGTCGACTCTAGTCCCCTCAATCCTGACAAAACATCCATCTTTCGCGTGCAAATGCATGTCGAAGTGTCTACGAAACAAATGTGACTGGGAAACTGTGAACCTACCCAAACTTGTGGCAGTCGATGATGGTGTAGTGAACTGTCTTGAGATACTGGCATCACTCAGCTCAGGTGTGCTCCGCACAGTTGAAATTCTTGCCGACGAACCTGTGTGGCAGTAGAAATAAAACAAAAACACAACATATACACAGAGAATTAGGATTGAACTACTCGTCATCACTTCGAAAACATCTCAAAATGAGTTCACAATCTGTGTCACCGCGATCACGTGGCATCACGAACACAAAGCTCCACAACAGACAGCAACAAGTCATCATTCTCACCACCACCTCGTTCAAACCACATGGTCGTCACCTCCATCCCCATCAAACAAAGCTATCCATCAGTCATATCGAACCAGACGAAACAGTCGTTTTCACTCATCATTCCCACGCCTGATTCCCATGTCGGTGTTAACACACGCACAAGCACAAGCACACATGTGCACAGGCAAACATTCACGCACACACGGACAAGTGGACGAGTGGACAGAAAGCCAGCAGTCCAATCGACAAGTGAGAAGAACATGCTGAAGACAGGCGGGATGGTAAAATTAACCCCACGCCACCTGTCTCACTGCATAGCACAACACTCCATTCAAATCCACCATTACATGCGCAAAACACAATGACTAGTGACTCACGATATGATGTGACGTTTCTCAGACTCGGTCCACTGGAAATATTCAGCCTGCTGAAACCCTGGATCAGAAAATCTGCGAAATCATCGTCACTCAGCTCTGCGGCCTTCCGTGAGAGCAGCTCAACGGTCACAACAGCTCGCACACCGTCCATTGACACATGCTCAATTCCCGTGCTTGTGTTCCCAACACTCAACCCAATCCAGATAAGGATTCGAATGAAGACGACATTGACACAAGTGGCACCTCGAGATATCTCTTCGTCAGCCAGTTGTAGGCATCGTAGCAGCTGGAAGATAAAAGACGAGAATCAGAAGGTAAGCGCAATCAGTCATGCTTCCTTCATATCAAATGGTTGTGTACTATCATGAATTCCCTTCCCACTTCGATTGACGTGATTATGCTGATTAGTGTGAACAGGCTTCTCACCAGTTACCACGAGGACAGATCTTCTGACACAGAGAAGCCTGTCAGATTCCCGACGTCTTCACCACTCAAATCACCACAGTCGGGTTGGTGAAATCGAAACTTCACCTCCGAGAATGGCAGCTGAACTCACTCAACACTGAACCAGTCACACGCACAACTGCTTACTCAGACAATAATCCTGCTTCTCTATGCCTCATCGACGCAGACATTCACACTTCCCAGACACACTCCTCTGCATCCTATAACAATCAGTGTACTCCACACTGCCCATCTCCAACTCAGAATGCAATAACAACTCGTCCTACTCACTCCGTCTCTACTATTCTCTGTCGAATCGCCTACACTCAAACAACTCAGTCAACCAGTTCCCTTCCACTCATCACACGGAGAATATCACCCATGCGCTTGTTTCATTCACAGCAACCGACACCTAACCCAAGATTCGTGCACTCACGTCGCCTACGCTCGACCGTCAAACACCACTTAACCTATTGTTTTCACAAGCGAAAGGGAAACTAGATAACAGATACACAGCCACACTGATATAAGTATAGTGATACCGAGGCGTAATAACCACTCCACACCTACCAGGTCACAAGATGAATTCGACAGGCTTCTGAATTCAGAACTCGACGGATCTGTCAGGTTGTCCGACCAACGCATCGGTGTTGACAGCTCCTCGATGTAGATCACGAATTCCACGTCCAACATCGTTGGCACTACAAGTAGGAAGATTGGGATTAATGAAACACTCATTTGGGCCTGGTAGTTTTTTTATCGTATGTTGTATGTGTCTTATCTTTCCATTCCTATGTAATTTTCTTTTATTTGTCTGTGTTTTTGTTTTCATTATCTTATATTTTATATTCTTTTCTGTCGTGTTTTACTTGATTTCTCTTTGTTTGTTTTTTTGTTTTTTTCTTACTCATGTTTTCGTGTTCAAATCAGCTTTTTGCCCCAATAGTGTTTGGTCATATTCTAGGCTAACTAATTCCCATGAAATGAGGCAGAATCTACGGGAAACTCAATTAGAAAAGAATGAAAAATTGATTTGTTTTGGTATCGTTTCCACTTGCACACCCGTAGAGGCAGCTCGAAATGAACTAAACATTGATCCGAAGCCCAGAAGTAGAACTAAGCTCTCGGTTGATGAAATAATATTATGCGTTCAGTTATACCTAACCTCCAATGTTATCAAATTTCAGAATAAATGGTACAAACGCACGAAGAGGTGGCAATAGGATCACCAATATACCCCATTAGTAGCGGACATATTCATGGACAGCCGAAAACATAAAACTCTCAGAAAGCTTCATTCTATTGCTCCTAGGTTATGGTGGAGATATGTGGATGACACATTTACTGCGCTGAGATCTGTATGTACTCCCCCATATTTTCATACACATAAACTCAACAGTAGACAGGATCCAAAATACTTTTGAATTGGGAAACGAACAAGGTGATTTGTTCATGCCAGACTGTAGAATGAAATGAAAAGAAGATGGTGAGTTAGATACTAGCAATTATGGAAAGCCGAGACGCTGTAATAAATGCTTAGACTTTAATTCACCCCATCCGGAATGGGTGAAGAGAGGCTTTGATAGATATCTGTATAACCAGGCCAAGAGCTTGACCAGTAAGCGAGAAGATTTAAATGCTGAAGTCGAACCAAAAAATAAAATATTGCTGGTTAATAACTACCCACAAGAATTTATTTAGAAGTGCACGAGGAACCATAGAAAAAATAAATTTGGTAATAAAATTGAGAAAACAATATGGAATTCAAAGCATTCGTAGCACTGCAGCAAGAAGGAGGAACATCAGAGCACTTATGTAGGATAAAAAACGAGGCTGGAATTGATGTGCAATTGATACAAAGCAACAGACTCTCTTGGAGATTAGAATTTTCGCCTCAAGAACAAAATATGTAATTGAGGATAATGCAGTTTACCAAACACACTGTAATCACTGAGACAGGAAAATTATATAGGATGAAATATTCAATTGTGGTACATAAATTTTAGCTAGACCTTGAATGATTGGTTGATCCTGATAAGCTAAATAAAGTAGAAAAACCTCAGCCGTTTTACTACATTCATTTGAACTTTATCGCTAATTCTGTTGGGACAGTGTGAGGTTATTTAAAAGTAACATGTAATTTAACTGGTGGATGGTGATTAGCAGTGGAAACCAGGACGCGCATTTTGTCCTATTTTGGAGTCGTCATATGGATGCACCTTCATTTCAAAGTGATGTTCCGGAGCTCGAACCCAGTGCCCATAGTTTCAAACGCCAAAGCGTTATCTGCTAGACCACATGCGCCACAGGAGCCACCTTTTGTGCAACGGGTCATATAGATTATTCAATTGAATTTTAGATTTTCCCGTCAGTTGATTGGACTGATGTACTCGTTATCAGGTTAGCATGTTGGCTTCTTGTACATATGCTCTCGTGGCCCAAGTGGTCTCGTGGATAACGCTTTTGGTTTCGAAGAAATGAGCACTGGGTTCGAGCCTCGGTGGGAACATCGTCACTCACTGAGGAATGCAGGTGCATCCAGTGACGATTCCCAAATGGGACGAAATGCGTATCCTGGATTCCACTGCTAGTCACCATCCACCAATCAGCTTCTAATTACATGCCCAGACATCGTCGAAGCATCTGCACAAGAAGCCAACATATCAACCTGAGACCGAGCATTTCGGTGCAATCAATAAACGGGAAAATATAAAATTGAATAGAATAATTTGATGTAGTTAGGTGGACAGAGAGGTTAATCAGTGAAGTTTTGTTTATCGATTCAACACTGCACATGTGCAATCGGAATGACGCAACACCCTTAAAGTGGCAACAAAATTCAAGGAGAGGTCAGAGAGATAGCAAAACAGAAAAGATATGTACAAATTACGAAGGCGTGTGACTAAATTAATATGCTTATGAGTAGTGATTTATGCTGGAAACGTCATCCATTTGTTAATACTGCATCACTGCTGTGTGATATTTAAAATAATCTTATCTAATATGAATGTGTTGTTTTCAATTTCGGGTTTCTTTCGGTAGAACTTACTTTTATTTGTTATGGTGCCCCATGTTTTCTCCGTTGATTCACTTGTTTTCATTTCATGTGGTAAATGCTTTGAACTTGTCCCTGTAACAACAAGTAGATAAAACTTGTACTCTCTTGTATTGTATAGTTTAAATTAATGCATTAGAATAGCCTTTTATTGCAATGCTCCCTACTGTATATTAATTTTTTTTTAAATATTTTGTTTTTTGTAACAAAAGAACGATGGTGGTCTTTAAAGCTGCAAACTTATTCACAGACAGCTAAAGGAGCCGATTAAATTCAATTGGCCAAAATAATTTAATTTACAAAAATGGACGTGAGGTAAACATAGAATGAGTTACCCCGCGATAATGAAAACTCAACAACCCGAGCATAAAACCAGACAAGAGGGTAGGACATAACTACGGTTCCAACAATTAATAAAGGTAGTTGGAGGAAGATTTTTTTATCGCTGAATGTTTGTTCATCTAATCTACACTTAACATATGTAATATGAATGAGATATGGATGTCATTATTACTGTATCAGTGCGTGTTTATCAAAGAAAATTATTCTGTGATGAAGGCGTATTCTCCCACGATGCTCAGGTATTACTCTTCTATGAATCCTAGAAACATATTACTGACAACCAAATTAGATTCTTGGAAAGCTACTGATCCCAATAAACATTCCATCAGCTAAATATAGAGGTTAGAAATTACATGAAGCACGTCTTAAGTTTAGTCTGGGTATTATCATTTCGAAGTAGTATGGACATTCAGTAGCAAAACATATTTCAGGGGTGACGTTTTTAATTTCGCATCTTTAACTCCTCTTATTATTTTAATTCTGTTATCACGAATTTTCATAATCAACATGTGTGAGAATAACTTTCTCCGCATCTTTTTCAGGTCTATTTTAATTTTTTGATTTCCACTTCTTTCAGTATTCCCATTTTATTTTCCACTCATACCGTGACTAGAAATCACCTCAACAAACGCCTGGTGTAGTGAATCTGTTATACAATCGTTTTCAGATTAGAAAATAACCTGGTTTTATTTACTTACGGTACACTTTTATGTTCTTTCTGTGTAATTCCCTGGTGATATTCAGCCTTTTGAGACCGTAGATCAGCATACTTTTTATATCAGCATCACTTGGCTCCATATCTTCCCGTAAACTAAGTTGAAGAGTTACATTTTGTCGAAGTTTTTCTACTACAGTATGATACGCAACTATGCTATTATTTGATCGATCCACCTGCAACTTTCTCGTAACATGAAGGAAGATAACCTGTACACAAATCATCTCTTGGGAGATTTTGGCATTACTCAAGCGTATACTCTTCAAAACCTTCAAGAAAAAAATGGAGAAAAATTACTTTATAAGTCAATCCTCTTTCGATAATGTCGTTTCCGTTAATTAATTTGAACAAAGTAAGACTGAAGATATTTGCGTGATGAAAACAGCTCATTTTATTTCATGGCTTCTTTTCACTTTGCTGACGACCCTAGTAGCGTTAGTTTATAATGAAATACTGTGACAAGAGAAGACAGAAATATAAAATTTTGAGTGTTGATAATAAAACAGTATTCTAACATTTGGTTCCCTTCATAAGTTTCAATAAAGAAATAAAGACCAGATTCACAAGATAAAATGATATCATCTTTCTATTTAACAGGCTCTCACCAGTTGACTGCAAACTAACTGAAATTACTTTGGTTACAAATAATGACAATAAAATCACACTTAAATGTTTGAATAGTAATAGAGAAAGCAGTATAAAATCAAGGCATCCGAAATATAAGCAGTACAATTTTTGGTTTGAGCTGCTGTCAATTTACATAATTTCAAAATAGAAAATGACGAGGGTTGGGGAAAGAGAAGATATAAAACAGCAAAATCTAATAAACAGTGTGAGCTTGTAGTCGGTTGACGAAGTAATTCAAGGAGGTTATAGTTATAGTTTATGATACTGGGAATTTGCTCAGTGAGTTGAAATCACTAATATGCATAACTAATTAGTGTGATCAAAATGTAGTTACCAAGGCAGTGAGAGACTGATTCCACTCTCTTTCTGTATGCCTAGTAAGTTTGGTTTGAAACGCTTTTATGAGATTGCTTCAGCAAGTCGTAGTAAATTTGCTGTCCTTTGTATGCTAAATATCATCAAGGATTTGGAAATCTTGGGGAAATGATCCGCAACCACCACAGGGTGTCTAGCAATTGCACTTTGTGAATATCTGCTTCTTTTTACACATATATTTCTTGGGATATGTTTCTAAAACCGCAATGAAGCCCTTCTTCCTGTCTTTGCTATGTACTTGCTCCCACATTTGGAAGTGAATTCAAGGTACTCATCCAGAATGGATTAGCTTAGAGAACATGCCATGCTGTTTAGCGTTACGAGCTTAACTGTAGTTATTCACCTTTTTATTGCTGCTTTCATTCTCGTGTCAATCGTTTGCCCTTCTCTTTTTGAACGGGAAACAAACGGAAACATTCTTTTTTTCAACAGTTGGATATTTGGTTTTCTCATCCCTCTAGGCATTTTTCAACAAAGCCTAGTTTTCCCCCCAACTTGTTAGGAGAACATAACTTCTTGTGTTGTACGGTGTTTCTACTAACCCATGCTTATGGTTTATACGACAGAAGCAGTTGTGCTGAAGATATTATCCAATTTCGGTTCCTTTTTTGTTGATGGATTTTTCGGCCGTATCACTTCAACTCAACGTTGCATAGTTAACTAGCTTGCTTGTTCCTTAGCCTGTCTCAAGCTCGAGTAAAGAAGGAGCGTTGGGCGTGGGGTTAGCGACTTAACACAACAAAAGCTATTCAACTGCTAGAGGAACTTCAGTGCCCACAAAATAAATTAAAAATACAAAAAATGTAAACAACAATCTTATTCTTCACTGTAATTGAAGAGGTAAATGATGCGAGCTGGTGAAAGCCTTCTGGAAGCCAGTCAGCCGATGTGTCTTTTCCCGATGAAAGCAAGAATACGAATTGGGAATTGGAATGTCCGTACACTATACGAGGCTGGCCGGGAAGGCTGCCTAGGTAGCCAAAGAGATGTGAAGATATGCCATAGAAGTGCTGGGTATCTGCGGAAGCAGGTGGGATGTACGTGGACTGTTAAAATTGTTAACTGAAGAGTCAGTAATCTATTTCAGTCACCCATACGATACCATTGGCAGCCAAAGCCCTAATTCAGAGAGGACCAGTTTCACCGAGGATCATGACAGCAAGCCTCAACTCTGAAGGAGGGAAGGCCAGAATTATCCAATGCTACACACCTACAAACAACGCAAAACAATAGAAGGAAGAATTTTACAGACAACTACAAACAGTAATGGACAACATCCCAAATAGTGATATCGAATCCTCAGGGGCGATATGAATGACAAACTGGGAGCAGATAATAAAGTAAGAAAACTCATCATGGGACGAGAGATTGGCTCGTAGAAATGAATGAGAACGGAGAATCATTCGCAGACATTTGTGCTTTCAATGACTTGGTGATCGGAGGCAGCGTCTAAAAACGCGAGGATATACACAAAGCTTCCACTTGATGGACATACCACAAACCAGGTTGGTTTCATCTTAATCTTAAGGAAGTGTAGACGCAGAATGCTGGATACAAAGTCTAGAAGGGGAGCAGGTGTGGTCTCAGACCATCATTTAGTTGAAGGAACCTTCACGGTGGAGCTGAAACCCTTATTCTCATGCAGTATAGGGTAGACACTGATCAAGCCTTCAGAATAATGAATATACAAATGGAAATCCGATTACTTCATTTTTCTCAAGCTATTTGTATCAAATAATATCACCTTGAACAGTTTGACTGACCTTGTACCACCAATGCAACTTAAACGCTTTGTGTCTCACTTGAATTCGACTTTTAGTCACTGAGATGAAATGCTGATTAAGCTCCCAATTTTCATTAACCGATTGATTATGCGGTAATTTCCTTTTATTTATTATATGTAGTCAATCTGTTCCAATAGTTTTATTGTTCAGTTTCCCTTCAAATTTTTTTCACGTTAAACTCAGTCTCTTGATTACTTCATAATTCACGGAAAATAACCATCCACAAATCGAAATAAGAGCAAACAGTTCAGTAAAAAGACTCTACACCAAATTCTTTCCCTTCCTCGAACAGTCGACGTCATATGTGGTTAATATTGTATGTGAGTACATTCATTTTGTCAGGCATGGCACAAGAATAAATTTTAGCTCGGCGTATTGTTTACATCACCTCAATATTTCAAAATTATAATGAACAATCAAACTGCAACTTGACGAGGGAGGGTTGAAGTTCAGTAAGTTCAGATTAAAGGTTGTATTATATGAAAAACGTTCAGAAAAATTGGATGTTAATGAAATAACATTAAAAGAAACATCAAAATATATTATGTAGTTGGTGAAGAAAGTAAACGAAAGGTTAATTCAGAAATGATGTTAGACAAAGCAATAAGAAGACTTAATTTTTCTGAATCGAATAATGCATTTGCGCAACACGTTTCGAACAATCTGATCACACACACACGGACTTGTCATAGGCATACATGTGAAACCAATAAAGAGTTAAGAAGTGAGATAACAGACTTGGGTCAGGTTAAAAAAACATATTGAAGGTCAAAATAACAATGAAGATAATTAAGCCGAATAACAGGTAATAAAGTTTTCCAAGGAAGGTTTAGTGTGATGAAGAAATTGTTTCTGAACGCATGAACGAAGTTTAAACTTCTTAAATGCCAAGGCTTCCACACTTTAGGAAACGCCCCAAGCACGTTTTGCAGATAGGTTTAAAAGACGTGTCTCGATAATACATTTCGCTATAGACAAGGTAGATAGCCTGTTCTCACAATTAATGTGTTCTAAGGGTTCTATTTGCTTCTGAAGCCATTCATGAATATGCTGTGAAGCTCCTAATTGCATAGATCGGTGAGTCGTCTCTGTACATGTATGTCCACCACTTACGTTCAAATTGGTAAATACAGTAGGATGTAACATCATTTTTCGCAAGTTCTAAGGACTTATATGGATATATGGGCTTCACATTCTCGATTATTCCGATTTAAGCTGCATAACAAGTCTTTTTAATCACAGCGTTCAACTGTTGCCGAGTTACCAAGCTGCAGGAATCGCCCATATAGTATTGCTCGATGATACGTCTTTTTTAGTAGTGAGTTGGAAAGTGGGTCTTGGTGTTCTGACTACTTTATATCTCCTGATGAACTTTTCTGGATAATTGTTATCAACCCGAGTTTGTGTCAACTTTCTTTCTTCCTCATCAAGTGCGTCTTCAGTGCATATTCATTTGCTTCTACTGAAGAGGCACCTTGTTGAGACTCTTGTGTACCGAACAGGCCAGAAACTGTGATGATTAAGATACTATTCTGTCCAAGCAGGTTCTCTATAAATAGATCATTTTACTGATTCACGAAGCCATTGACTTAGAAATATGCCTAGGAAATATAAACAGTTATCTACAGACGTAAGTGGTACGCTGTTCTGAAAGTCATTTATTCTGCTTAAAACTGAAGTGGCAGAACAGGGCTTATCACTTATGATTACAATTTCGTCTACATACCTTCTATAAAGCGATGCATGATGTTGATACATTTCATAGGAAAAACTGCATAAACACCAATAATCACAAAATGCTGATACCAGCTGAACTTGGAACTGTACCCAAGGTAGAAGAAATGGATGAAAACATATTTTCTGTGTATAGAAATCAGTAGTTTTCATCGAAATCTCTAAGGCTTCATCACCACAAAGTATACAGAAGCATACTGTTTTTGGAAAGCTTATTTTGAATTTGTAGATAATTTTGGATGAATTTTCTTTGCATATTGAGAGACCAGGTTTAAAATAAGTGTTCACTTATAGCTCTCATTATTGACCTATCGTAACCTTTTTATAGCTAAGCAAAATGATGTTTCTTGACTCTTTTAGAGAAAGTACTCATTCACTGAACGACGAATGTGTCTGGCTCTACATGAGCAAGTAAACTGGGCGATACACAGAAGCGTGCTCAAATACCATACTTTTGTCACTTGTGATAATAAATGTGACTTAAATTATGTCCTACAAATTGTTCATAGTTGCTAACTAGCCAGAAAATTTACAATAGACGTAGAAACCAGACTCTAGACATTCGATTAAAAAGCTGGCACGACAATGAACATATCAGTATACAGGAAGCCAGTGTGGGAAAGCCAGCTGACAGACGTTTGTAGCTGAGTTCCCATAAGTCTCGACAGATGTTAATCCAACTTTTGAACCAAGGTTCAGTTTACTTATTAATATTTTCACCTCTTTTCACCAAAATTGATAGAAAGGTTTAGTCTTTTATGTTCTATTGCCTTCTATATAAGTGTGTATGAAAAGTACGTGTGTGATCAGGATGTCCCAATTGTACATTACTCACATTTCGGTTAAATTACTCTCAAATCTGTGTGGAGGTCAACAGCAATCAGCATCAAAAATAAGATCCGGATTTTCAACTCCAATGTGAAGTCAGTGCTACTATACGGATCAGAGACTTGGCGAGTCATAAAGAGCATCTCAAAACAAACTTCAAACCTTCATCAACAACTGTCTCCGCTCAATACTCAAGATCAGATGGCCAGAAAAGATCAGCAACAGGGATCTCTGGGAGCGAACCAATCAGGAACCGATTGTGAAACAAATAGGCAGAAAGAAATGGAGATGGATTGGCCATACGCTGAGGAAACCATCAAGTGACATCACTAGACAAGCCCTCGAGTGGAACCCGAAAGGGAGGCGGCGAGTTGGTCGTCAGTGCAAGGGTGACTTGGAGGAGGTCATGCGAGGAGGAGATGAAAGCATGTGGACAGACCTGGAGCAGGGTGAAAAGTTGTCAGAAAACCGAAGTCAATGGAGGTGCGCAGCTGAAGCCCTATGTTCCTCTAGGAACTAAAGGATACAATAATAATAATAATAATAATAATAATAATAATACGTCTTCTTATTGATTTTATCTTGTTTAAAAGTTCACACTCACTTTGTTCAGTGTTTTACTATTTTCAGAAAAATGGTTACTGAACGAAGAATACTCTTTTCGATAACTTCATCATCAGGTTCTACAGTTATATATGTATAAGAGTAGTGAATGAATCAATGTTATTAAAAACACTAATGTTTAATTAACTTCGAAAAAGTTGACAACAAAAGAAGTAATTGGAGATGATATATGACACGTTGATTGGAAATAGCTATTCTGACAAGTTCATCAAGAAACATATGATTAAGAAAAGATGGAAAGGACTATTTAGTATCCATGATTACGAAGCCTTCATACATAATGCTGCACTTCAAGGGCACTATATCTAGTGAAATAATTACGAAAAAGTTAAGAAAATCAGTTCACAGAACTTTTAATGCTGGAAAATTATGTCTTATTTTTTACACGACTGGTGGTGATTCCTCAAATGAAAGATGAAATACCTAGACTAGCTAGCCACCCCTAATTGTATCTACTAATTCAACAGCGCTTTCGGAGCAAGTTTTATTGACCATCGGTTTGGGGACGTAATTTTTCACGATCGCCTAAATAAAGGTGTAGTTAGAGGTATCAACAGCTCGATATTAGAACTTCTGGTCCAAATCGGCCATAAAGCTAATATTGAAGAGTCTTTCTCCATCATCCATCGGATGCCAAACAAATTGTCCAAAAAATCCATGTACAGCATGCTCCAAACAGAAAAGGCTATCGCGATTCCCCTGAAAGAACTGGTGCCTTGTGTGCAGAGGAACCAACTCCAGTTACTACTACTGTAACAACAGAAGACAAGGGCCAGGCAACAGATCGTTTTATTATGAAAATCAACACGTATTTATACATCTTTCAACTACATTATTATAGACAAGCGCAGTCATCTGATTGGTTGTTTAGGTAGACAAACGCAGGCTTCTGATTGGTTGTTTCGGGATTCCTTGACAAATAGAGTTCTCTCTGCGAATCATATTTTGCCACGTTAACTTTGCTGTGATTGGTTGTTGACTCAGGCTTGTTCATATTTTCTCACGGCCCATATTAGTGACCTAGACCTTAACGTAGATTAGTGCCAACCAATCGGCTAGCAGCCTGCTCTCACCACACTCGTCCCCCGTCAAATACGTGCGACTGAAGTCGGCTTGATCTACTTGGTGCAGGCGTCATCGTTGGCTTGTCTCGCTGTATCCATTTCTGGAGCTCGCTGACGTTCACGCGCCTCTCATTGTTCGCCATTGCGACTGTGTCTGCGTAACCCCATCTCGAAGTGACCATATATGGTCCTTCCCACTTTGGAAACTGTTTGCCTGACCCTGTCGAACATTCGTCCATACTTCGGCCCACACCTTCATATGCTGCTTTCGCCCGACCTCCCAGCAGCGTCTCAAGTAGCAGCTCCATCGCTGACAGATCTTGAACGCCACTCAACTGCGCAGAAGCCTTGAAGTCCTGCCCGAAGATCCATATGTCTCCATCAAAAACTGCAGGGTATAGGCTTTTCATTTGTCGGTAGGCAGCGACACCAAATGTAACAACAGAAGACAAGGGCCAGGCAACAGATCGTTTTATTATGAAAATCAACACGTATTTATACATCTTTCAACTACATTATTATAGACAAGCGCAGTCATCTGATTGGTTGTTTAGGTAGACAAACGCAGGCTTCTGATTGGTTGTTTCGGGATTCCTTGACAAATAGAGTTCTCTCTGCGAATCATATTTTGCCACGTTAACTTTGCTGTGATTGGTTGTTGACTCAGGCTTGTTCATATTTTCTCACGGCCCATATTAGTGACCTAGACCTTAACGTAGATTAGTGCCAACCAATCGGCTAGCAGCCTGCTCTCACCACACTACTACTTTAACTGGCTTTCTGTGGATACTGTATATTCATGAATTTGTATTATTATTTTTCCTAATTTTTCTGATATTCAGTTTATTGTTATGTTGATAGTATTGAGCTGTCATCTATCAATATTATTGATTCGATGTTATATAAACAACATTAATGTTGTTCATAACACTAATTCATTCATTTACTATCATGTATATATAACTGTAGAACCTGATGATGAAGTTATCGAAAAGAGTACTCTTTGTTCAATAGCCATTCTTTTGAAAATTTATTATTTTGTATATTCTTCGTTATACCTCTTATACTCATGTCAAAGTGTATTTTCAATCAGTTAACTGCCTGCAGAAATCAAATAAAATTTATAAACTGTAGGTTACAGATAGTCGATAATTTCGATTACTTTGGCTGCATCACTCAGTACATTTTTCTTTCAAGTAATAAAATCAAGGGATCAGAAAAGCCAGATAATACCTTCGAGCATAAATACTAAACTAGGAGAGCAAACTAATTATCTCAGTAACGAGATTCACGCTGCTAACACGTATAACAAGAACAAAAATCAGTTGCTTTCTATAAAACATGCATTGTGTATTCCCACACGAGGGTAATGTCACCTAAGGATTCTGTATTATGAGAGCGACAGTTATCCGAAATCAGTTTATTCTCAGAGGGTCAGGTATTTTCACCAATATTGTTCTCATTTTCAGTGATAATGTCTCTAAAATCTATTTTCAAAGTACTCAGCTGTCAGAACTAGTTGATGAAATCATTAAAATTTAAAGATCGAACAGTGCATTGAAAAGGCAGTAAATAAATATAATCAGCCAACTTAACAACGCATGATGTTAAGCGATTCAAACGAATGAAATAAAGAAATATGGAAGCATATAGTTCCATTTAGACGAATAGCATAACCAGATGCCATAAATAGTCAGGATTCTGGGAAATATATGCATACACATACCAATTCACATATTGACTCAGCCAAATTTTGCAGTGTAGGATTCAACTTTGTGAAGAGGTCATCTGCCCAGCGAATGTTCAATGGGATTTCAGCAAGATGAATTGTGAATTCTATACTTAGTGTTATATTGACTAAAAGTTAAATAAAATTTATATGAAGATAAATAAAAAAGCTTATTTCATTGAAAATTCAGTGGAAAATTGTAATTACAGTAATCTAGATGTTAGTGTAAATATCTGAATGATAATAATAATAATAATAATTGCTTTATTCCAAAAACAGTACTCATGATACAGCAAGGAATTTTCAGCATTCAGTACAATATTGCATCTAATTTACCCAAAAACGACGTTAATGAATGAAGAGACACGGTATTCTTGCAATAATTTATTTCTCATCTGATATTCCATCCCCGGTGGTATTACGTATGACACACCTGTTCAGTTCAAAATGTATTTAGTTTAAAAAGACTAATCAGCTGATTGACTCTTATGTAAGCGAACCAAAGTGTATCTAAAGCATAACACGCAGTTAACCCAAACTAGTTCACAAACAGGCTCCTACGCAATAGTAAGGTACTCAGATATCTCTGGTCGATAGAATTTAGTTCGCGGAAATTAGAACAAATTAGCTGAATTATGCCTTTATTCACTGCATAAAATTCGCCTTGAAGACCAAGTGCAACTAATATAATCAGTATGTTATCAACATGAACCAAGCCCAGGATATACACAACTAGCTTCAGTGGTCTTTTATGGAATGTCGATTCAACTCGACATCTGTCACCTTCAAACGTTATAATAGATTGCGGATAATTTTTGAAACTCCTCTGAAATACAAGCGATCAAATTATTTGACCATTATCACTGAATAGCGAAATCTGTCACGTGTGTTCCGTCACGTTTGACATACAGTTAGTTATGTATGTTCCGATATGGTTGTCACAAGTGGGACTAAACGTATCTGCCTATCTTTCGTGACAATGAGTAATCGTTAATTATTATTTTATTGTATGCTGATTATCAGTGTTACTGTACTGAATGAACAAAGAGAGACACAACGTTCAAAATAATCATAATTATTATAATCCCTTTACTTCCAAGTGAAACTTGAGACTCCAACGGCACATCTTCATTTCATTCCATTCTCTTTAGTCCCCCTCACCTGCCTCCACGATGGATCACAAACTTCCATCTACTCCTCGAAGCCCACCATCTCCTCCATATCACCCTCACATCAACGCACAACTCATTGTTTCCCACTCGGCTTCCACTCGACGAACTGCCTAGCAAGAGAATGTCACTCAGCGGTCTCTTCAGCCTGTGTCCTGCCTATCTCCACCTCCATCTACTGCATATTTGTTTGGCAATTGATTTCTCGGTTGGTTCGTTGCCTGGTTGCTTCCTTGTTGCTTACACTTTCTGGTCAGCCATCTGATATTCAGTGACGAGCGAAAGAGGTTGTTGAAGAAAGACTGCAGCCTGTCAGAAATCCTTGTGATGACATGACGGCTAAGTTTCGGAAGTATGCAGAGGCGCTGATGTGACATTAGTGTTGAACACGTGAATATTGTTCTTGATTCAGATTGTGGTAGATTTGTACACGGATTTCAGATTAATGAAGGTGTATCTAGCTTCTCCGATCCCACCTCTGACATCTTCATTCTTTCTTGTTTCAGTTGAAACGACTCTGGCTAGATAAGTGAAATAAGTGACTTTCTTTAGATTTCTTGCGTTGATGTGGCCGGGTGCGTATTGTTTGTTAGGTATCTTAATCACCTCTGTGGGAGGACATACTAAACAAATGCTTTCTGCATAAACACTATCGTTTGTGACAGTAAAAGTACTTACACTTGTGAGCAATTTACTCTGACTTTGTTCATGCGTTGAACAGATGTTTCTAATAAATATTCGTTAATTTATTATGAAATCCAAAATAATAGACTGAATGAAACTTACTCATTTCATAAGATGATTTTGGAGTGAAACTGTTGCTTGCTGTGACTTCACTGATTTGAATTATTTCATCTGTTACACTTAATTCTGTAGAAAATAAAGCGAATATAAACAATTGATGATATTTGACTTAGAAAACTTTTACGCTTTTATTTTGAAGTTATTTTGTTGAATAGGCTGTTTAGAAAGAGAATGAATGTCTCTTAGCTAAAATATTCAAATCAGAGAATCCAATAACACTGAAATTGTCTACAAGCTGTCTTTCGAGGGATGATTAACGCATCCACATGTGCAGTCATTTTTTTGCAGTTCTCTGTTAGCTTTTCATGAATGTCACTACATTGAAAATGCTAGTTGTTATATGAGCTGTTAGGCTGTGACATTTATGGTGGTGTTTAATGCTGTGGTTTATATATAAATTGCTTAGATCGTATAATTTAAACTACATAGTTAAATGACTTGGTGAACTGATGCAATGAAAAAATTGTATTTATCTTCAAAACAATTATAATATTTCATTAGAATCATCTTCGACAGTTGAATAGTTAATTTATGGAAAATGCGGGGCTACTGAAGTGGAATGGAATGCAAAAAATAGGTTAGTTCCAACTTAACAAGTTAATGCACCATTATTCCGATTTGTACAGCTATAGAAGAAATCTGGAATGAAATTTACACTGTTACTGAACCCACATAAGTAAATTTACCTAATATGGAATTGAATTCTATTACAGAATTAATTTCTCAGAACATAGCATTTTATCCATATACATAGACCCGATTACATCTAATAATTAAGCAAGCACTCAGCCACAATGAGGAGGAAAAGATGAACATAATAAAATACGTATAGTGAGGTGAAGGAAGACATCTGTTGCCCAAACATGTCATTAGAATAACGAGAAATTTAAATTTGTAACGGAAATTTGTATATATATATATATATATATATATATATGTTTCTAGATCCAGATGAAGAATCCGTCGAAATAAATTCTCTATGCTCAATTTCCATTTTGTCTTCTGAATGAAATTCATTTTAGAAATGTCTGGTCTTCTTTGTATAACATCCTCTTTATTTTCAATTCAGCGCTGGTGATAAGTATCGTGCTGATAAACTAATACTACATTCTCAAGATTGCATTATGAACTCACATTGGTTAGAGAACCACTGGAAAACCTGGAAGTACTGAGCAGCTGTTTCGTCAGCCTGGTTTGGGGCTCCTCATCAGCACGCACCCGCCACAGTTCAAATCAATGACCTTTCGGTTACAAGGCCGGCTCGTAAACCCTCCAGCCACTGGAACCCAACACAATGGTCCATGAATTAAAACTTCTTCCAATTCGTGATAACATGAGCTTGCCTCATAACCGGAGGGCTTTCAGTTCAAAACTATGTGTGTGCGTGCTGTTGAAGAATCCCAAACTAGGACGGAACAGCTGTCCAGTACTTTCAGGTTCTCCACTGTTTCTCTATCTGACATCAGCACGTGATCAATCAAACCCCTGCGAATCAACACAATATATATATATATATATATATATATATATATACATTCCCTCAACTTTGTTGTAAACTGCAATTTCCCATATATTCGGCATAAGCGTTCCGTCATTTTCATTCCACTTGTTTGGTGTAACCTCTCTGCACGCAGCTATATCACTTTTCTTTACTTTTACTCCATCCCGCCATGCTGTGCGATAACAGGCGAAAAGATAACATTGTTAATATACTATATTATTATTCCCTTGGGTTCTGAGTGGAACATAAGGCTTCAACAACACACCACTTTATTCTATTTGATAGTATCCTCTACAGCTGGTTCCACGTATGCTCATAATCTCCCAACTACTCCTCGCATCTCACGATCTCTCCCGTGTCATACCAACACCGGAGTCATTGTTTCCTACTCAGGTTCCACTCTAGCGATAGCCTGGTGCGCGGTGTCATTCGATGGCGTCCTCAGCCGATTCCCAATCCATCTCCACTTACTTCTACATATTTAAGTGTTGGTTTGTAGGGATTTGGTTGGTTTCAGGATTTAATCATGAGCTGCCGTTGATTCCCAAACTAGGATGAAACAGCAACTGTCCAGTACTCCCTGGTTTTCAGTGGTTCTCTAACTCATATCAATCCGTGATCAACTCGTAAAAACAAAACTAACCCTTACAAACCAAACTATAGATGTAACTATAATAAAGTACAAACACACCAGATTCTACATATTTCTTGAGCAGTCGGCTCTTGTATGGTTTGCTGTTAGAGTTCCTTGTTGCCGATTCTTTCTGGTCATTCGATACTCAGTACCAATCAAAGGCTCACTGGCTTTCCAGCCAATCGCAAGCCGGAGAGAACTGAAAGAGTTGGGGGGTGAGGCTAGCGGCTCTTTCACAGAAAATAAATCAAACTGATACAGAAACTTCAACTCACAAGAAAAATATCTAAAGTGTAAAAAAATTATAATTTACCAAAAACTTTGACGTCAACTATATAGTTTAACAAAGTAGACTGGGGTCAGTAAGATTATAAGAACTTAGAAATTTAGCTAGAACTGGAATGATAGACCCTGTCCAGTCAAATGATGTAGAATAAACCTCTGTCATTGCAATACATTCACTTACGTGTAGTAACACACTAAAGTGATATAAAGTAAAAGTATCAAAAATGACATAGTTAGGTGGAAAGAGGTTGATCACCGAATATTTGTTTGTGGATTGAACATGATTAATACGTGGAGTGGAAATGACGGAACGCTTATGCCGAATATATGGGAAATTGCAGTTTACAACAAAGTTGAGGGAATGTATATATATATATATATATATATATATATATATATATATATTGTGTTGATTCGCAGGGGTTTGATTGATCACGTGCTGATGTCAGATAGAGAAACAGTGGAGAACCTGAAAGTACTGGACAGCTGTTCCGTCCTAGTTTGGGATTCTTCAACAGCACGCACACACATAGTTTTGAACTGAAAGCCCTCCGGTTATGAGGCAAGCTCATGTTATCACGAATTGGAAGAAGTTTTAATTCATGGACCATTGTGTTGGGTTCCAGTGGCTGGAGGGTTTACGAGCCGGCCTTGTAACCGAAAGGTCATTGATTTGAACTGTGGCGGGTGCGTGCTGATGAGGAGCCCCAAACCAGGCTGACGAAACAGCTGCTCAGTACTCCCAGGCTTTTCAGAGGTTCTCCAACAGATATATATGTATATATAAAGGAAATTATGATGGCATTTGACTCAGCTGATGTGATATCAAGCAATAAATTTTACTACACCATTGTGCGTTAAATGCGTCGGTGGCTTAGCGTTTAGGACGCTCGCCAACCATGCATATGGTCCAGTTTACGATTCCCGACCGCCGCACTCCTTTACCTCACTAATTCAGAAGTATTGCTGGTAAAGATGGAAGGTTGGGCATGGCCATCCTGTAAAAATAAACACTGCTGCAGAAACTTCAAGCATCTAGCTTGAAGGTGGCTCTCGTTGCCCAAGTGGTCTAGTGGATAACGCTTTGGCGTTTGAAACTATGGGTACTGGGTTCGAGCCTCGGTGGGAACATCATCACTCAGTGAGAAATGCAGGTACATCCAGCTGACGAGTCCCAAATAGGAGGAAATGCTCATCCTGGATTCCACTGCTAGCCACCATCCACCAATTGTATACTATCTAGCTTGAAGCCCTATGTTCCACTGGGAACGTGAAGGAATGAATGAAGAAGATTATGCGTTAAATGAAAAAACGTATGTGATATGAAATACTGGCGCAAAACATTTTTTATTTTTAGTAAAACTACTCACCATGTGCTTCAATATTAAAAAGTGTAAATATATAAATATGACTTAATTTATTGTAACCAGCATTCAAAATTAGTGTAAGTAAAGTTTCGTTGAAATTGAATGTAATCGGCACACTGATAGATATGATAGCACTAGCTTGTACAGCTTTAGTCATTCTCCATTTCGATAGATGATCAGAGATTCGATTATCTTTAATTATTTTGTCAATAATTTTGAATTTGATAAATATACATTCAATTTCCTTTTCAAGCAAATAATTCCAAATTAGTTTCTTAGTTGCATTCTATAGTTTATTATCCGTGAATATTGTGATAAAAAGGAAGTGCAAAGTTATAATAAAATTCAATTCACAATGCAATATAGGCACTATATTAACATTCATAAAGACAAACAACTGCTTGAAATTTACACCTAATGTTTCAAATCACTTCTTCAAACTCTAAAGTTATAAATTTGTGAATATTATAATACAATAGCCAGTAAACCCAAATCAGATTTATCTTTATGGATGCATGAATGTGTACCAGTTTAGTTTGAAAATGAGTGATAAAAGGAATTTATAGTGCTATCTTATCTCATGTGGTGGTAAACACACAAAATACGGTCGTACGTCGAGTGCTAAACAATTTGCCAAAAGGCGCGTGATTGCGTCTCCCAGCCCCGCACATGAAACTGTAGGGGTCAATAGGAATAAAACTAATCCTTGTCTGACAGAAAATCAGATGATTACTCTCTGTTTACCAAGACCTACTATGAGGTCATCAAAGATGTAATCAATTCACATTCACATGCTATGCCACGCTCTTCTTATTTCTTTTCATTTAGTTTACTTCACATCATTAGTCATTTGATAATTATTTGTTATCCGCCGGATTCTCGGCTCAACTTACTTTATCTCTATTATTTGATAACCGTTCACTATCTATCCACTTTACTATGTCATAATAGTTGTTATCTGTCAGTTCTCGAACTTGCATCCAGTGTTCCCCACTTGTTTTTTATGCTGTGTGATATTCATATTTCTGTCATAATAATGAATATAACCCAAAAGCCAGTGATACTTGTTATTTATTGATTATCAGTACGCTGATATGTTTGGACTATGACATTTGTCGGGATTTATATGAATTTAAGTTCAGTTTCGAATTTGGTCAGGGATTCAAATCAGTTAGAAACAAGCCAAAAGTCAGGTATTACTGGACATCTATTCCATCCTAGTTTGAGATTCTTTGGCAGTAGGCACCCAAAGTGGTTAGGATCCATCACCTTCTAGTAACAAGGTAAGCTTAATGACTGTTTAGCCACTTGGATCTGGCTCGATGGCCACGAATTCCAACCTAAACCAACTTAAACTAGGATGAAACAGCCGTCCTGTAATCCATGGTTATGAGTTATTCTCAAACTGATATCAGTCCGTAATCAAACGTGGGCAAAATCGAATTCCTTTAAATTAACTCTTGAAAATGAATTTCAGCTGTTGCGTTTGGTCACAAACCAGCATCATTTATAAAGACCGTTGAAAGCCGGGAAGCACCAAACAGACATTTTGTACTGTTTTGGGACTGCATTGAATTGTGGTCCATGTTGCTGAATGGTCAACGAGCTTGATCTCGTAACCTGACTGTCCTGAGCTCAATCGTTAGTTAAAGTGATGTCTGCCGGATGCTGAAGAATGACGAAGCTGTATGAAACCGCTGCAAAATACTCCCTGGTTTTCAATGATCTCCCTCACTGATGTTAGTTAGTGACAGAATCTAAAGACTGAAATTCACAATTTATCGTATGTATCTGTATGCACTCGGTTGACAATGTCAACCAACGGACTGATAGAATTCAGTCTCCATCAAACAAAGGACTAGATACATTACACTAATTACTAACTAGTGACCAATAAACCCCATCTTATCTGTGTACCCCAGTACAGTTTCTGGCATAATTCTGATTCACCTTTGTTGGCAACTATATTCTAATATTTATTCATTTGTAACTTTAGAGACTGAAGAAGAAGTTAGTGAAAGCAACTGTTATATCAGAAATGTTTCTTGTTCTGCATACACTGTGGAAATATTCAAATTACTAATTGTTCTCTCAGTCACAGGATGGTTATAAAATGTTTCCATAAATTAGGTGATTAATTATGATTACTACAAATTAATTTATACAAACTGTGATCAAGATTTGACCGGATAGTTGCAAAATAATTAAGCGCTGAGTGAGAAGTACACATTTATAAAGTTATATTTTCAAGTGTTGGTTTTGTAGGGATTTGGTTTCATTGTATGGAGGATTTAATCATGAGCTGACATCAGTTAGAGAACCACTGGAAAACCTGGGAGTCCCAGTGGCTCAATGGTCTACGAGCTCGCCTTGTAACCAGAAGGTCCTGGGTTCGAACCCCGGTGGGTGCATACTGATGAGGAGTCCCAAACTAGGACGAAACAGCTGGCTGTCCAGTACTCCCAGGTTTCCCGGTGGTTCTCTAACTGATGTCAGCTCATGATTAAATCCTCCATACAAAAGTTATATTTGTAAAATCTCGCTGAATTAGATGGTAGTTGTTGTGAGGTAGTTTGACACATTCTGCAGGATGCCTTGAACCTAGATTTTTATGCTAGTTGGCAATTTTCAACAAGGTGTATTTTTGATCATGAGGGAGCTGATGTGCTTTATGACATTCGAAACCGAGCCATTCAATCAGAGAAGTTACCACTGAGCTTTTCGGGCTCGGAACGACTAAATGCGTGACGTTAGATACTATCTAGTGTCCGATGAAAGCATATGTATATGTGTATGTGGATGCCCAAAACCCGCTTCTGGAGAATTGAGGTGAAATATGAATTTCCTACTTTCTAGTTTTCGAAATTTCTCCGCATAACCTTAGCCTCTGATATAAACGGATTTTAAACAAATCAGTAAACTCAGTTTATTCAGTGAAAACAATACTTGATTTTATCGTCAGTCGTTAGTTTGGTAGGTTTTGATGGGTTTCAGGCAATACTTAGTCTCGACCTATGTCCCTAGTGGAACATAGGGCTTCAAGCTAGTGGCTTGAAGTTTCTGTAGCAGTGTTTATTTTTTACAGGATGGGGTTGCTAGCCTCATGCCCGACCTTTCCTCTTTACCAGCATTATTTCTGGTATAGTGCGTCGGTAGGGAATCGAACCCCGGACCGTATGCATGGCTGGCGAACGTGCTAACCACTGTGCCATCGTCACTGTTATACTCACATCAGAGAGAGGGAGTCGTTATTTTCTAGTTTAGGAATCTTTGTGAGTGCATACTTAAGAACCAAAACATTCAGATTGCGAAGCGAACTCGTTACGGAATCAGAGATGGATTTGAAAATTCAGCGACCGATGAATTTTCAATTTGGTCATTTGGTGGCATAGCTCTCTGTCATCCAAAACTGACCATAAGCACCTATCTTCACACCGACTTCATCATCACTATTATTAGTAGAAGGCATTTAGCCTACAATGCGGTCTGTCCGAATGCATTGATTAGTCCCATCAGATTACATTCTTATCACTTAATTGACAGAGCTACGAAAATTAATAAACATCCAGATCATAATCGGACCATGTTCAAATTGGTGCGTTTCACGGGATTTTCACTATCACAGAGAGATATTTCTTAACTCACCATATTTTTCCCTTCCATTGACAGTGCCTTATATATATGCGGTGCATAGTTTTCGAGCAGAGGATAGCCCACACGTAGACTACTACTGATCTAAAATAGAGAAAGACAGAAAACACAATTTTAACATCACACTTTTAGAAGAAAATTTCATCTACTGTAGTGAATATTCTTATCAACATTAGAATCAGGTTGATTTAAATGGATTATATGTGGTTTAGTATTCTGTCCTTTGTGGTATAATCCTATCAATAAATGATGCTTATACATGCATATTTAATACATCAGACAATAAAGTACACCCATTCAGGTAATTAAACCATTTGATCCCACGTAATTAGTTAATTGAAGCTAATTGCGAAAGGATGCACAATTGTTTCCATTACGAGCATTTAAATCAAGTGACTACACCTGAGTCACAATACATTGATATACTTCACACCTTTTTCGAGCCAGAAGACATATTAAAGATACACTTGCGATAAATCTATGATGGTAAATTTGGTAATGACAACCGTCTGTGTAATTAGACACCATAACCGCCGACAACTTTTCGGTAGGAAAAATGAAATGTAAAAATTATAAATTGACTGCAGCAGTACTTCAGTGTGTTGGTGACTCGTTGTCGTTAAAAAATGCTAATCTAACACATATATAGTCCGAATAAGACATTCAAATATTATGCAGTGGCATAATATCGTTGTTTCTGTTTACAAATATATGGTAAGAAAAATGACACAGTTCTTGGCCTGATTAGACCTCAGAGATAAATGTAAAAATCAGCTTATTTTTCTAAGCTTATGACTTTTAGCCAACACGTAACGGATGAAAACTTACAGCCTGCTCATTTTTGACTGCTAAACTATAACTCACTATAAAAGCTGTACAGAAACGATTCGATTTGTGAACTGTCTTTAGGATGATAAAGTAATCTTAAGCATTTAACCTGTGGCTATGTGTCTCAGTGGTTTAAGCACTGAACTTACAGCCATTGACTCCTGATTTCAGGATATACCCCACCTGCCTTACATAAGCGTTCTAAAATTGTCTTAGACTGCCTTAACAAAATGTATGATGAACACTAATACGAAACAGTTTTCATGCATTTGACCTTGGCGGCCTGTTTGAACATTTTGGGCTACCACATTCCATGTACATTTTGCATCTATTTACTCGTATTTTATTGGTATTTACATATCACATTATGCATTCTAATCGTATTATCCACTCCCGGGATTTTATAAAACGTTTTAAACCCAAAAACTTTCATATTTGCAATAAACTCAAGAAAAAGCACCATGGAGGTTGGCAGCGTGCCTTAAAATCTACACCCATACATCACACCACTGTTCCAGTTATCATTAGTACCAACTGCCGGTCCCTGCCTAATAAAATTCTGGATTTTCAGTCCTGTTGTCATCCGGAACCTACCACAATACTGGTATTGTCACTCTACAAGAAACCTGGCTCCATGACTCATACGATGACAATATTGTGTCTCTAAACAATTTCAATGTTTTCCGACAAGACCGTGTTTGTTCCAAGAAAAAATGTGGTGGAGGTGTTGCAACTTTTATTCACTCAAAATGGTCCATTTCTAACAAAGTTTGTTTCAAATTCTCGAATGACTTCATTGATTGCATCACTGTGAGATGTCGCCCGAAACACCTGTCAAAATACAAATTCATTTATATTTCTAATGTTTATGTCTCTCCTGGCTGTACCATATTGGATTTATCTATGTTCGCTGATGAATTCACCGCTTTTGCTGCAGCTTGCTTCGAGAACTCTTTATCAATAGTAACTGGCGACTTCAATGGAAGCGATTGCTCCTTCCTTATATCACTTGGTCATGACAATATTGTTAACTTTGCCACCCGTCTTGGTAAAAAACTGGATCTAGTATTCATCAATGATGTTGGTATATATGAAGCTCGCAAACGTGCTCCTTTACTTAACTCTGACCACTGCATCATACGTGTACTGCCTAAAATATATTCCAAATCACACAAAGGTGTCCTCTCTCACCTCTACAGTAAAGTTCAACGGAGATGCTACTCAAAAGACAACCTAGACAAGCTCAGATGCATGTTGAAAGACACTAACTGGGACTTATTTACAGAACAAACATTAGATGAAACAATCACAAACACTACTGATTATCTTAAATTCTGTTTCGAAATATGTTGTCCTAAAGAAACATTATTCATTCGATTTGATCGCTTATCTTCGCCATATCTCAAAAAGCTACGTAGAAATAAAGAACTGTTGTTCAAAACAAATGATAAGCCTGGTGTAAAAAAGTTAAACATTCTGATAAAACTGGAAATGAAAAGACTAAATGTTTTATATAATCAAAGATTTTTGTCATGTAAAACCCCTTCTAATTTATGGAAACTTTTCAAAGAAATTACTAACGGTAAGCGATGTATTTCTGTTCCATCTCTTAATGTTGACACTCTTAATAAATCTTTCATACGCTCTTCTGTTGATACCCTTCCAAATGATACAAATCATATTGACAATAACTTTAGTGGTTTTAATACCCTTGATGTGCTTAAATGTCTCCGGTCTCTTAAGCCTTCTCAAAGCCTTGGTCCTGACGGCATACCTGCCATTGTCCTCAGGAATTGTGCTGATATTTTGTGTTATCCTCTTACTAACATTTTTAATGCTTCTTTTTCCGGTAACGTTCTACCTTTTGCATGGAAAAACATTAAAATTATCCCTATACCAAAACCATCTTCTGGTTCTGATATTAAATTTCGGCCTATTGCAATTACTTCCCCCTTTTTAAAATTGATGGAAAAATTACTTTTACTTCGTCTTGAACCCGCTTTGAAACCTTTTAATGATCCTAAACAATTTGCATACAAACATGGTAGAAGTACCTTGGATGCTGCGGTTGTCTTATATCACAATGTTGTCTCTTGTTTAGACAAAGGTGCTAAATATGTTCGTAGTGCTTTCTTAGACTACACATCTGCTTTTGACTCTGTACCTAGGGGCCTTTTGTTAAATAAGCTATCGTTGACACAAACAGGATCCTGGGCTAAGAGTTGGTTGCATTCCTATTTTTCTGATAGAATGCAGTATACTGTATATAACGGCAAATCTTCTTCTACCTCGCTTACAAAATCCGGTGTTCCACAAGGTGCTGTCCTCTCTCCTTTTCTTTTTTCTTTCTTCCTACATGACCTGCCTCATTCAAACGAAACTAACTTTGTCAAATATGCAGATGATCTGACTGTATCACTGCCTATCACTTCCGAGTCTGACAGCTCCAAACTTAATAGCTTTCTGTTGGACATCAACAACTGGTCCAAGTCAAATGGTCTTATATTAAATCCTTCCAAATGTCAGCCGTTGACTTTACTTTCAAGCATCGACGTGACTTACTTGAACTAGTTAGTTCTCATGATCCCTGTAGCATAGATGGCACGGAAATTGAAACCAAATCAAGCATTAAATACCTTGGATTAGTTCTTTCCTCTGACCTTTCATGGTCATCCCATATCTTATCTATCTCTAAGAAAATGTTTCGTCTTACCTTCTACATTAAAAAGTTAAGACAATCAGGTATCAACCAACCTTTAGTTTTGCAATTTTTAAACTCCTGTATTTTACCTATTGTACTCTATCTCTCTCCATTAATCTTTCCTGGGCTTCTCAAAAAAGATTATATCATATTACGAAGAGTATTAAATGCTGTGAGTAGGGCTTGTGGTCTGCCACTGCATGAGCTCGCTAATACTATAGTCGAGAGGCATATAAATTCCTGTACGAAATGGGCAAAGGCTATACTGTCAGACCCTCTGCACCCCCTTTATTCACACCTGTCCCCTTGTATCTCATCAGGTAGGACGAGAAGTCAATATAAAAAGTCATATGCTCGTACCACTAAGTACAGAAATTCTACAATACCCTATTTAGCCCGTACTTGTGCGTCGGTGGCACAGTGGTTAGGACTCTCGCCGACCATGCACATGGTCCGGGGTTCGAGCCCGCACCGACGCACACATGATATCTATGGTCGGCCTGCAAAATTTGGGCTACCGATATCCATGCTGAAAATTCCATACTTGTACCGAAAATACAGTGTGGAATCAAGCTGTAAATCAAAAATAAAAAAAATAAAAAAAATACTTTATGTGACGAAGACTCTGTTAGACGCGAAACTTATAAGTTACTATGTAATTGTTATGTACTCGTCGCTAAGTTATTGTTATGGACTGGTCGAGAAACTAATCGTCCTGACGCGAGAAGGCGGAAATCAGAAGACCACTAGGTTTGCGATGATACTTCTATTGTTCAAACACAAGGAGACGAAAATAAATGGTCTCACACCAAAGTGGTAAGCAAGTCAAGTAGTTGTAAAGTAAAGTAGTTCACACAAATTGTGAATGCGAATAATTCAGACAAGCGTGGGAAAAATCATTAGACAGTCTTAACATGAATGGCTAATTATAATGGAGTGTCGATCCAATTATACATAGCGAATATAGCAGACATGCCAACAAACATATATGGATATATGTCACCAAGCAACGGACTGTCAACAAACACTCATATTATATATAATATAATATAAGGAGAATACACATTATCCAAGGAGACAAGTCCATACAAGTGAAGTGGTCACAGACTAACCGAGCAAACAGAAAGAGAGACCAACATGCACACACACACATAAATATATATATGTGGATACATATCACCTCCCCTTTTGAGAAGATGGATGATTAGTAGGATGTTTACCTGGGGGTTTATCTTTTTTTTTTTTTTTAGATTTACAGCTTGATTCCACACTGTATTTTTGGTACAAGTATGGAATTTTCAGCATGGATATCGGTAGCCCAAATTTCGCAGGCCGACCATAGATATCAGGTGTGCGTCGGCGAGGGCTCGAACCCCGGACCATGTGCATGGTCGGCGAGAGTCCTAACCACTGTGCCACCGACGCACCTTTGGGCTTGTTGTTGACGCCTGTCGTTTCGTCTGACTGTTGGGTTTGCGGCTTCGGCTCCGTCCGGAATTGTCTAGCATTTCATGCTTCTTGACTGCTTTGCATAGCGAATTTAGTGGGACATCAGCCAGATGCAAACGATCGAACCAATCAAGTCCCAAAAGATTTAAATCATTCTTGGTAACGTAACAAATTCCTGTGAATTTGGTATTGCGGAAGGAAACAAAACATTTGAGTTCACCAATTAGTTTGAGCCGCCCACCACAGGCGCTGAGAAGAGTCTGGGAAGTATTTGCGATCGGTGGTCTGCCAATATAATTCCAAATTTTCTCTGATATAACAGTAATATCAGAGGCGGTATCTAGCTGCAGACGTGCATCATGACCATTCATCTGAAGGTCAATATATTTCCGCATAGCTGGTGTTGTGACTTGACAGGTTGCACGTAGACTCAGTGATCTTTTTGGAGATTTAGGACCGACATTTTGTTGAGCTTTTGCTGGATTATGATATCTGAGTTGGCGTGGCTGACAAAACCCATTTTTATGACCGATGATTTTGCACTTGCTGCAACGATGATTTTTGTATGGGCAAGACTTTACAAAGTGCCACGCGCCACAATGCCAGCATGGTGATGGAGGGGTCTTCTTTGCAGTATTTTGTGAAGTTGGACGAGTATGTATAGATTTCCGCGGGACATTAGAAGAAGGTGGGTCAGGACTGGATGATGAGAGATTTTTGCTCTTTCGTAATGCACGAATATCAGAGCTTCTCGGAGGTGTTGATTCGACCAAGTGTGTGTCTTTCTGCAGATTAATCAGCCGTTGATATTCATCAGCTATGTCATGTAATGTTAACTTGGGATTTTGTTCTAGCTGATTGAGCAGTCGAGTTCGGATATCTGTGAAACGAGGAGATTGGAGACTGCATATGAGAATCAAGGCTTTGAACTGATCATCTGTTAAGGACCTGAGTCGAAATCTCTCACATTCTCGGTTGACTGTGCCAACGTGAGTAAGAAAATCATCATTTTCATTCATTGCCAGCTTGAGGCAACGATAACGTATACTGAATAATGAGGAGTGGTCTCCGAAATGTTCACGCAGCAACTTTATTGTATCATCGAAACAATTGTCACGTGGTTTCTGTGGTAAAATTAGGTTGCAGTACCGTTCATATTCTGCCGGACCCAATTTACGTAGCAAAACTCGCACCTTCCAGTCATCGTCTCTCGGTGTTTCGCTATGGCTCGTACAAAGCAGACTGCTCGCAAATCAACTGGAGGAAAGGCCCCAAGAAAGCAGCTGGCCACCAAGGCTGCCCGAAAGAGTGCACCAGCCACCGGTGGTGTTAAGAAGCCACACAGATACAGGCCTGGAACCGTTGCCCTACGTGAGATCCGCCGTTACCAAAAGAGAGACCAACATGCACACACACATAAATATATATATGTGGATACATATCAGTAATTAGCACAGTGAAATCGCCCCTTTCATCGTTCATCTTTCTGTATTTTATGGTGTCACCCTTTCTGTCGTTTAAATTATTACTCTGCTACTTTATTTTAGTTGGTATTACTATTATAACTACAATTTTGTACTTTACGCATATTTTTCTCCGTATTGCATACAGTATTTTGCTATGTAGCTGCTGTAACAATCGTTTTATTATTATTATGTAATGTATATTTATAAATTTTTTTGTTGTTTTTGAGTAAATTAGATGCAATATTGTACTGAATGCTGAAAATTCCTTACTGTATCATTAGTACTGTTTTTGGAACTATTATTATTCTTAAGTTATTATTACTATTAAATTATGTTTAATAATCATATGGCTAAAATATGATTAATTTACTCCTAAATACTCAATAAAAATGCAGTCCCGGAACACCTGATCGAATACAGAAACCAGGAAAACCCATTAATCAGCTTCATGGTCATCTTCAGAATACCAGGGAATTTCGCTAAGGCAGTACGAATCAGGCTTGTTTAAACTGCAAAAACAGTGACTATTCACAAGTTGAATCCTCAAAGAAAAGAAGTTCGTTCAGTTATTAAATCTGCGATGGGCCTGATTTATCTTAACACCTGATTTGTGATTTTAAGTTTATTTGCTTTGTTGGACGAAATATGTCCATATTGAGTCATAAGAAAAAGACGCAAACAGCGAAAGAAATTTTCTTCTCAATGATTTATTTCCAAAACCCGTTCAGTCGTTATTATGTTTAATGATGGCGAGCTAGCTAGAATGGTGGACACATTACAACCTGACCGATAGAATTCAGTCTACACCAATCAGAGGACTAGACGCATCGCACTAGTTACTAGTGTCAAATAAAAATTCATAAAACCAACCAGATACTGGTAAAATTTGTCCGCGAAAGCGTGTTACGTAATGTAAGGTCCAATCAAGAAGAGGTGACTAATTGAAAATTAGAAAAGGGGCAGAAGTTGGAATGGCACAATAAGTGAGAGAAAATGACTAGACAATATAAATGTGTGGAGTGAACGAGAACTAGCGGAAAGACAATAAAGTGTTTCTAAAAAATCTGTATATCTCGAAAAATACCCATTTATTTCATAAGTAAAAACACAATTTTTGTTCAGCGAAGAAATTTCTTTTCAACGATTTCATTTTCAAGCTGTACAGTCGTTGTTATAAAACAATCTTTAATACTTTTGTAATTTATCCACTTCAGCTCTACCCCTTATAACTTTTATCACATATATACGTACATTGACTGAGCAATTATTTAGTGCCACTTTATAACCTTTTTCTGTAATATAAATACGACTGTACAGCTTGAAAATGGAGTCGTTGAAAAGAAATTTCTTCGCTGAACAAAAATCTGTATATGAAAACGCAAAGTTGTTAATAAACAGAGGTAGAGTGATAATAAAATAAGATTACACCTTACGTTGCGTAGTACATTTTCGAGGACAAACTTTACCAATGTCTGACTGATCTTATGAACTCGTTGTCAAATATAATTATGATTGTACACCTTATGAAAATGAATCGTCGAAAAGAAAATTGTCCTCGCTGTTCAAGTATCTTTCTGTTCTAGCTGTATTATTTGTTTCTCTCACTCCTTATCAAATTCCTACGTCTCATTACCACTAGTTTTTTTTTCTGATTTACAGCTTGGTTACACACTGTATTTTTGGTACAAGTATGGAATTTTCAGCATGGATATCGGTAGCCCAAATTTTGCAGGCCGACCATTGATATCAGGTGTGCCTCGGCAGGGGATCGAACCTCGGACCATTTGCATGGTGGGCGAGAGTCCTAACCACTGTGCCACCGACGCACAGTTCAATTTATATCTAACATTTACAGTTCTAATGAAGCATCTTTGGAAATATCCATTTTGTTGCTAAGACAATTTACTACATATGTGACATTTTATAACTTAAGACGGTAACTCTTTGTTGGATTTCTTTTCTTTTAAAATGCAACGTTCCTTTAAACTGTATCAAACTCCACAAGAAACCTTTTATTTTCCAAGTTACTTGTTTGGCACATTACCATATCTTTTAAGTACAAACTATTATTATTTCCTTTAGTTCCTAGAGGAACATAGGGCTTCAGCCGCGCGTCTCCATCTCATTCGGTTCTCCGCCAACGTCTTCACTTGGCCCCACGTCTGCCCACATGCATTCATCTCCTCTTAGCATGATCTCTTCCATTTCTCCCTCGCACTTACAACCAGCTCGCCGCTACCCATTCTGGTTACACTCTAGATCCTAGCGTGTGATATCACTCGATGGTTTTCCAAGAGTATGACCAATCCGCCTTCATTTCATCCTTCAGTTTCGTGCGCCTGTAGTTGAAAAGATGCTTTACAGGTGGGTGGTAATGGAGGTCGCTTCCTTGAGATTTCTCCCATTTATGCTGATTATTGTCTGTTGTTTTTGCTGTTGGTGTTGGCCAGGAATCTTCATCACCTCTGTTTTCTCAATGTTCAGCAGAAAGTCCATCTATGACGCTTCTACTGCGTATTATGAGCAATAATTGGTGCTCAAAACTTCATCAGTAAATATTACTGCATGATACTGTGTGATTTCATCAAAATAAAATTTTATCCATAATGGAGTTTGACTCTTCAACGATGGTCAAGATTTACCCTTGCCGGTTTTCACTTGCATATCTTGAAGTTTGTGGGAAATCAGACATATATCATCGGTGAAGTACAGGTCCTCCAGGTTTTTTGTACGGATCCATTTTATACCTGCGTCCTCACTGTCCGCTGTCTATCTCATTATCCTGTCTACTGCAATCACGAAAATCATTAGAGACAATGGGCAGCCTTGTCTTACTCCTATCTTCACTTAGAAGGATTCTGTGAGTTTCCCGTTGTGGATTACTTGGCATGCAGCATTGTCGTAAAACTGTTGGATAAGATGCAGAATTGTTGGCGGTAAATATAAGTGAAATTTCACAAAATGTGTGCAAAATATTTTTAAACAGTACCACTTACTATAGTGCAGAATGAATTTCCCATTGTATTGTATAAATTTTTCAGTGGATTATTTATATATTCCATAAATTTTAATGGTGCTGAGAATATCTCATGACGGAGTGTGGCAGTGATTTCAAATCGTAGAATCACTTTATAAAATGAAAATAGAAATTAATTAGTGAAAGTAAATGTATTGAGTAAAACAACATTAAAGATGTTTTTGTTTGCCATATTTAAATCCTTCTGTTAACTTCTGTAGAGAAGCCACTATCCAACATCAAAAATATTATCAAAGAAAACATGGAAATCTGCCTGGCAGACTCAAAACACAAAGCTGACATCACAAGGCTGATTGATATCTCCAAGTGGCAAGACTTATTTATAGATTTGAAGGTATCAGCACAATTCAAACGAAACTTCACTAAAAAGTCAGATGAACATCAATCTACGACCTACCCAGAAGGAAAACGATCAGTGCTTAACCAGACTTAAAAGAACCAGCCAAGCAAATCAACACTTAAGAAGGAAAACGTGAGACAAGTAAAACAATTTCATTACATGAGGTGATAAAATGCAAGATCGAAAGGTAAGAAGAACAGGAAATTTCTTCCTTCGCTTATTGGAGATCTACAATAAGAAGAAAAGAACATCTGTTGTATTCATACGACTTGAAAATACATACCACTTTTCAGTGAAGTTAGTACAGAAGATGTCATGAAGCTGGGTAGTGAAACACAAACTGTCGAATACCTAATCTGTGAGAATATTTTACAGTTCGCATCCCCTTCTTCACTCAAAAAGTATAGTAGTAAAGAAAATGTAAGCAATTTGAAAATAATGCAGCTCATCTGAGACTTCGTCAATGAACAGAGGATATGAAAGATCAAAATAAGTCATTCAGAGAGGAGACGTTTTTCAACGAATTGAAATTATGTCCGGTGAGGGAACTGAATCATAAGTGTGAATGCATAAAATAATAACTGCACATTAATTTGTTTATTAGATATATCACACAGTGACACATTATAATTTAATGAATGACGTTTTGAACAAAATTTGTCGTTCATAATATTATCAGTTATAATCACACAGATAACTATAAAACGAAAGTTTCGAAGTTGTGTGATCATAATTGATATGATTATGAACAATAAATTTTGCTCAGATAAATAATAATGTTCAAGAGTTGATTTGTAGGGATTGTACTTGTTTGTCGAGTTTGACCACGCATTGATATCGGTTAGTAAACCATGGAAAGTCAGGGGGTACTGGACACCTGTTTCATCGTAGTTTGGAAATCATCGGGAGCATTTACCCAATGAGGTTCGAACCCAAGACTTTCCGGTTACAAGGCGAGCTGGTATACCATTCAGCCACTGGCACTTTATTCAATGGCCCATGAATCCTAACTTCTATAAATTTGTGACCACCAACCAATGTTATCCTCACACTTGGTTGGTTGGACCTCAGTGGTCACGACTTGTCACTAGAACTCTAGGGAACTCCGTCCTGTACCAAGTTACTGTTAGACTGTTTATGAAAACACATATCCCCTAAACTCCCATGTTCTTCGTCGACACATTAATGCTAGTTAAAGTTCTTTTGATTTATTTGTGTATCTCTTTTCCCAGTCTTTTTCTGCCACACTTCATGCGGTAGCCTAAACTGTTTTACTTCTGTGAAAATTTCTCAGTCGAAACTCAGTCAGTCAGTCTAAGTATAACTTATTTGGCTTCGTTTCACATAGGTTTGCTTAGGAACCAAACATCATATCCTTTTTAACCCATGGACAAATTAAATAACGTGTGTTTACTACTCAGACATACAATGTGATACATTTTAAGGAACTGCTACACTATTCAGTGATATCTGATGTATTCTTTGACTGTTCATAAACATTAGCAATATTTCACAGTAATGGCAGAAAAGTAATTCGGATGATAGGAGTTTATGACATATCATGGTGGCAGGTGAAGAAGACTGCCGAGTTTAGGATGAAATAGAGATGGGCTGTTGGAGCCCTGCGTCCCACTCGCAATCATAGGTAATAGAAGTACACAATAAAATAATAATAATTTTAGCGAATTTGATGGAATTATCCTACAACTATTTGAGTATATTTCGAGGGCTTAGTAAATCAACACGTACTATCACCGATAGAACAGCATCAACTTTGGTGTAAATCGTAAGAAGTACTAGTAGTTGTTAAAACTTGGAGATTTTGTTGGCAAATCACTGATAACAGAACTTCTAGTTAAGGACAAATCAGCTAGTAACATTTACTCATAATACTTCCAGAAAAATCTAATTGAAGGAGTTATTTTATAGTTAAATATTTACTTCGAGCAAATCAGAAATGTAAATCGATTGTTCATTTAATTTACCTTCACGAGTTGGTGGATGGACTTCAGTTGGCATTGATGATATAGTGGTTACCTGATCAAGTTCTTCTCCAGGAGTGGTGTGAACTGTTGTGCTGATTTCTCTAAAACCTGAAATCATATACATATATATAGATGGATAATACGTGGTAGATAAGAGCGAACCCGGAAGATAGGATAAAAAATTGCGAAAAGTTACTAAACCCTAAGTCACTGAGAATGAAAGTGCATCCTTTATTGTTTATAATCCCACATGTACTCTAAGCGAGACTACCATATCGCTTGCAATCCCGGTTGTTATGATTCACTTTATATGATATTAGGAAGCTTTTTAACTCCACTTGGATATAGGATTTTAATAAACACAACAATATCTCCTGAATGCAGTTTTCAAAGAATGACAATTTATTAATCTAAGAAGCTTGACTGAATCATTAAAAGGGATATATCAGTCGCAGTTGTACTACAATTAAAATGATCACAACAGAAAATCATAGTTCGAAAAAGTTAATTTAACTGAATCAAGTTATTTGACTTACTATAGAACTGTATATTCACTAGTATTATTCCCGATGTCACATTTGTTTTCCTCCATGCGTTATTCAAAATTATTGTGACCTCGTCATCGTTTAGGTTAGATATTATTTTTGAATTAAATTTTACTGTTATCTTTACAGTAACACCTGTTATATTATGTTTCACAGTTACAGGCATCTTGCTGTGATTCCAATTGGTTATTTGATTTGGGACAAGAGTTCTCAGAAATGTGGTGTTTAGGTAAGTGACATTCAATGAAGTTCCTAAATTATCCATTTGTAAGCTTTTTGACACCTTATGTGATAAGAAAAAAGGGAATTCAACACACTTAAATCAAACCTACTGAAGATTTAACAAAATGCTAAGCAGTATGTACCTTTGAGTAGAGGTAATATGTGTAGGAATTAATCGCAGTTCTGTCTTTAAACATTTTACGACACAAACGGTTTGCGAGATTACGCATCAGACTTTGTCAGTAACTCTTTGGTGTTCAAAGCAATATATTCTGGGTTCAAGTATTGTTGGAAATACCGTTAATCCTGCGATTCAGTTACATCAAGTTGACCAGAAATGCATCCTAGATGCACTTTCTGTCTACCATTGATGAAAAATAATGCGCATTTAGAAAATGATGTTGTCAGAGCAGCTTCCGTCGTAATGAATGAGACAATCTGACACAAGGTGATCAGTCCAGTCTAGAGAATGCAAACAAAAAGATACTCAAAAGGACTGCAGATTATTTTTGAAACTCCTCTGAAATACAAGCGATCAAATTATTTGACCATTATCACTGAATAGCGAAATCTGTCACGTGTGTTCCGTCACGTTTGACATACAGTTAGTTATGTATGTTCCGATATGGTTGTCACAAGTGGGACTAAACGTATCTGCCTATCTTTCGTGACAATGAGTAATCGTTAATTATTATTTTATTGTATGCTGATTATCAGTGTTACTGTACTGAATGAACAAAGAGAGACACAACGTTCAAAATAATCATAATTATTATAATCCCTTTACTTCCAAGTGAAACTTGAGACTCCAACGGCACATCTTCATTTCATTCCATTCTCTTTAGTCCCCCTCACCTGCCTCCACGATGGATCACAAACTTCCATCTACTCCTCGAAGCCCACCATCTCCTCCATATCACCCTCACATCAACGCACAACTCATTGTTTCCCACTCGGCTTCCACTCGACGAACTGCCTAGCAAGAGAATGTCACTCAGCGGTCTCTTCAGCCTGTGTCCTGCCTATCTCCACCTCCATCTACTGCATATTTGTTTGGCAATTGATTTCTCGGTTGGTTCGTTGCCTGGTTGCTTCCTTGTTGCTTACACTTTCTGGTCAGCCATCTGATATTCAGTGACGAGCGAAAGAGGTTGTTGAAGAAAGACTGCAGCCTGTCAGAAATCCTTGTGATGACATGACGGCTAAGTTTCGGAAGTATGCAGAGGCGCTGATGTGACATTAGTGTTGAACACGTGAATATTGTTCTTGATTCAGATTGTGGTAGATTTGTACACGGATTTCAGATTAATGAAGGTGTATCTAGCTTCTCCGATCCCACCTCTGACATCTTCATTCTTTCTTGTTTCAGTTGAAACGACTCTGGCTAGACAAGTGAAATAAGTGACTTTCTTTAGATTTCTTGCGTTGATGTGGCCGGGTGCGTATTGTTTGTTAGGTATCTTAATCACTCCTGTCTCTTTTCCGTCTGCTTGAAGTGCTTTCTTCATTGGTTTCGTCTTCTGTGAAACAACCCGCACGACCGTTTATAGTGAAGTATAACAAGGAACCTAAAAATATTATGTGACAATTTGACTATTGTGTAAATTATGAATATTGGAAAATACCGTTGTGGGCATTAGATATATAAAAACAGGATGCTGAGGAAAGATGTCTTTTCGGCGATTTCATCATGTAATCTGTAAAATTGGATTTAAATATACAAGGACACATGGATACTGTTAGTACGGAATCTCATATAATAACGAAAGAGATTGAAGTAGGTAACTGTATTCAACTGGATATGAAAATCTGAGGGTGTGAATATAGAATACAAGGGGAATAGACACAAATTTATACGGGTTTCGGAAATTGTTTCTTGAGGTGTGTGCACTAAATGAGCATGGAAACAGAGTCATTAACAAAGTATTTATATATCTACAAAGGACAGTGTGGGACCGAATACTTTGTAATGGAGAAGCCCTCGCCACATTCATCAAGAGGCTGGAGTTATGTGTTTAAGAAAAGCCAGTCTAGCCTCTAGGTCTATCATATATCTAGTTTAGGTTGAATCATTAGTTTGCTTTTTTATTTTTTAAATTCCTTCATATTTTTTCATTTTCATTTACACATGTCTATGAAAAAGCTATTTCACATCTTACAAATCATGTGTCGTTCTGTTTCTATTCCCCTCATAATCTATACTTACACCCTTATATTTTCATATCAAGATGAATATTGTAGAGATTTAGTGACTGAACCATAGAAAAGATATTTTAGCTGAGCGTCTTATTCTTTGCTCACTTGTGAATTATTTCCGTTTAAATGTGTATCACCAGATAAGTGTTCTAACGTGAAAATTCCATAGAGATTCCATGGAAAAACTAAATTCTTGAGTAATCAGCTTGTATATGTAGGCAGGATAATAATAATTGTGGACCTTTATATTGTAGAAAGTTTGACCAACACGAGAAGGCCAAGCTGCACTGAGGATGGAATTTGTGAACTTCAGCAAATATCCCCTTCGAAATATTCTTAAATGAGAAAACATTATAAAGCCGACCAGTCTGTGGTAATCCTGATGATTTGAAATGTTTGATTTGCCTACAAAAACTTAAGTCCTCATGGCTGTTACGATGCGGTGTTTGTACTTAGGTATGAATGAAATACTGTCGACTTTTCCATAAAGTCTGTCTTTTTCCGAAATGTCAAACTACTACATCAGTGCAGCAGTTGTAGATACAAGAAATTGCTTGTCAGACGAAACTGGAAATGTAACGAATGGTGTATTCGTGAGGTGGGAAATTTAAATCTTGGTCATGTTTACCTACATACAAGTAGAGACAAAGAAGAAATTCTTGTTGTATTTTCTAGTTGATGGGCTTAAAACATAAGAATGATTTACAAGCTAAGTGCTAGTTATCACCAGAAATGTTGTAAACACTTCTGTACAACAAAAAGCTGCTTAGAACCATTTTTATGAAGTGATTAGATCTGAGACCTACATGTTACTCAACAATCACTTTCGATCTGCGTATCATAGTTTAATTGTTGTTTGGTGCAGGCATAAATATCCCTTTTTATTCTTCCTTTTATGTATGTTCAGAATTCAAACTCACTCATAATTCGTCGATTCAGCTTAATAGTGAGACAACAAAGTTAGGCCACGTAGCTAAGAGAGTCAACTGTTATCAGTAACAAAATACCTCAAATATGAATGATTAGTAATGATTTTCATCGATGCCATCCGATCATATAGGAATCAATAACTATTAACAAGTAATTCAGTGAATAGCCAATACAGTGGTCATTAGGAGCACAGTTATACATGAATATTTTCAAATCATCAGGAATAAATGTCAACTATGAATGCTCATCAGGAAAGATTAATTGAATTGCTTTTCTCTATATGCACTTGGGAGTGTCAGCACATCATTTGAGGGAATACAGCACCCAGTTAACCATCACCTGTTGAGTGAGAAGGTGGCTCATTGGATTAAGCACTAGGACTACTATCTAATAAAGGATCAAGGATTCACATCTCAATCTACATGGAAAAGTAATTGATCACAATAGCTCTCCCAGAATATGTATGGCTCATAGAATGGTATATTTAAAATCCTTTTGAGGTAACTCAATACTAATGACATGTTAAAATGAATAAGGTTATTTCTGTTTATGCTGTAGTTAAAACTCACCAGAGAAACAACTTGTCCGGATAAATTTGTATACAGGAAGCTTAAAGTATCCGTTAAATTATCTGACCATTCTACTGGCATCAAACTTTCCGCTGTATACAGAAGGGCATGAATATCCCCGATAAGATAATCTAAAGAATACATTGAAGTAAGTAAGAATAAGTGGAAATAACAATTATATGTGCTATTGTGAATTGAAGAAGAAACATACAAGATATCAAACTGTTGTCACTTGGTGTTTTTGTTCAGATAGTACTCATCTTATTTTTATTTTCATTCAGCCTTTTTAAAAAGAATACACTAACGTCCACCATATGATTAGCTCAAGCGTATGCCCTGCTCACACTACGGCAGTCTTCATAGAAGACCATTTAAGAGGAGGATTGAATCTATTTTATTATATTATCAGATGCTTGATAATTAGTCATTTTAAATGAGTAGCCAAATTTGTTGGTCTTTCCAAATAATCAGCCATTTATTTTATTATTTTATTGAAATAATACCCACATACAATCGTCGGGTAACAAAAGTTGTGTAGTTAAATATGTTTCACTTGGATAGCTAAATCATCATATATTTTATGCTGAAAATCATGTCCAGTAGTAATATCTTGTAGACATTTACATAGATAGGTGTCATCGAACTTACAACTGATACTTGTAAAGGTTACCTAACAAGAAGACAGTTATTTCTGATTTGAATATGTGCAAGCAATGTGGTGAGGAAGAGGACAAGCTCCTGTGTGCACCAGTAAATGAAACGAAACAACCAAAGGACTTTCAGAAATGTCCTCTTGAAAAAATATCACTAATAACAGTGTTAAACATGGAGAGAAAGTGTAAATATGACTGCCTACTAGAATCCCCGGGCTTCCTGAATTTTTAATCAATGCAGTGCATCAAGTTTCCCTCAATTCCTAATATTTTACTCTTTTTAATATGTCCTTGAGTAGCAAAACGGACTCATGCACACCTTTAATTGGCTTTCATACTACAAGTGCTCGTGATGTAACCGCGCTATCATGAAATAAGAAAAATTCAAATGAGAAGTGTGGAAAAGTAAACCGATAAAAGGAGTAGTAATTTCCGGAATCTCCTACCTGAAGATAGAGAAATATACTTTGAATTTACCTTCAATTTCTGTTTCCGTGAAGACAACTTCAGTAGAACTTGCAGTTGGACTGATAGAAATCGTTTCTATTGTAGCAGTAGTAGCGGTTGTTATGAACGCATAGCCTTGAAAAGGAATAAGATGTTGTCAAACTAAGCCTTTAGATGGTATTTTAAAATTTTAGAAATAAATTAAGAGTGAAAATTACTTACTCGTCAGTAATTAAAATCTTTGGAAATATCGCCAATTTAAGTAGTAGTAGATTTACTATCAATTAAGACACTCATTTTGATTAACACACAGACCTAAAATTTCTTCACATCTTGGATAAATGCTGTTTCGTGATTTTTCCTCTGCTTACTCCATCTTTGCATCTTAAACCTGGTGTGACTAATCACGTCTGTGTAGGGACCATTCAGAACCTGCAACGTATTCACGAAATATAATCCCAGTCTAATGTTTCATCCCCTCAATATACCTACTCTTGGAAATTCACATTCACTAGTAGAATGAAGTGCATGTGAAAATAACATTATCTTAGGATTTTTGTTCTCATTAATAAGAAGGCATGCTGATTATGTTGCATTGTGCTAAAATAAGTTCTATGTACATCGAATAATCACATCCATGTTTTGAAACTTCAGATTTAAACGCAGCTAGAGTAGGATCTTTTAAACGATAAGTATGGCGTTAGAGTCACATTATTTACACTATCACGCACTTGAAATACAGGTACATTTAACTAATGGGTCCCAATTTTGATGAAATAGGCAGTCTTTTTTCTACCTCTAGTCATTTACCAAAATAACAAAGTAATTCATTCTAACTAGTACCCTCTAATAATTTTGAGGTCAGATGCATAGGACAAATTAGTAGGATGTAGTCTATTACATTACAGGAGCACAAATATCTGGCATAATCTACGTTATTTTATCCGAATAACGTTAGAAATCTGCAGCATATTTCCGTCACAATGTATCATGCAGCTAAATATAACCATACAAAGTTTTTCTATTTATTATAATATTCCTTTAATTTCCGAGCGGTACCTAAGGCTTCAGGTTTCAGTGTTTTTTTTTACAGGGTACGGCTGCTGGCCTCACGCCCAGCCTTCCAACTTCACTGACTTTATTGAGAGCTAGGCTAGGTTTAGCGGTGCATTGACTGAGGATCGAACCTCATTTAGTGTGTTAGAGTCTAATGAATAGGGAAGGGGATGTAGAGGTTGACAAATGAAACCTTATTTAGTGAATTAACTGAAATTGCGTGCAGCAGAGATGTTTTAACTCTTGTCCTAGACATGAAGAAGGAAGAATCAGAACTATAAAAATCGACTTTCGAAGTTCTTTAGTTACATTTGATCTGAACAACAAAGTGTGTTAGAAATGTTATCCAGTAAATAATGTTTCGCTATGTAGTATATCCAATGAAAAAGTGATACGAAAAAATAAGAATGTTACTGAGCTTATAAACATAGATTACAATAACTTTTTCTTCATATATTCTCAAGTGATAAAAACATAGATTATTAATATTCCCGTGGGTTCCAAGTGGAGCATAGGGCTCCGACAAAACATTTCCACTTTGTTCTATTCGGCGATGTCTTCTTCAGCTGGTAAGCCACTTGATTGCCCATAATCTCTCGTCACCTTCAAGTCACCCTAGGATGACCCACTCGTCGCTTCCTATTTGCATTCCACTCGACGACCTGGCGCGCGGTATCATTGACGGTCTCCTCGGTGTATGCACGATCCATTACAATTTTCGCCCACATATTTGTTGATCGATCGGGTCTTGGTCGGTTTTTTCGTTGCCAGAGTTTCAAATTGCTAAACCCTCTTGGCCCGCCTGCTGGCCAGCCATCTGATCTTCAGTACGGTGCCTGAAAAGTGGGCAGCTGTTGATAAACGTCTCCAGTGGCGCGTTGCAAATGTTTTTCGTGACACGCACGCTATGTTTCTGACTCATACAGAAGAAGTGACCAACTTCACATTCGTGTTGAAAATCCGAGTCTTGTTCTTCACGTTGGCTGAGTGCAGATGTCCAAAGTGGTTTCAGGTTGATGAAGGTGTATCTTGCTTTTCCGAATCTCGCTGGCTTTGACATCTTCATCCGTTCCGACCACGTGTGGTTGAAACAGTGCTGCCTAGATAAGTGAAGGAAGTAAACTTAGTTAAATCTCTCCTGTAGATAGTGATTACTACTGGTTTTTGTTGCTGTTGTCATTGGTTGGTTAGTTATCTGTATCACCTCCGTTTTCCCCGTTTTCACCTGGAGTCTTGTCTTTGTTGCCTGCCAGGCTGGTCAGCCAGTTTGTTGGTTTTCTCTTGCAAGTTTTCGGGTTTGTGTGACATTAAACATAAATCATCCTCACACGAAATCCAGATCTTCTGGAGTCTTCTCATCTATCAGTGTGACATATTCCTGTCTTCTCACTCCCTGTGCACAATTTGACACATAATCCAGTTGACTACGATCAAGACTATCATTGGTGATAATAGGCAGCCAGCCAGTCTTCTCTTACTTCTGCATTCACTTTGAACGCCTTGCTGAGATTTCGGTTGTGGACCACTTGAATGTCACCACTGTTGAATGAGGTGGATGAAGACTTGAGGCACGCCATAGTGTTGAAGTAGTTCTCAACTTTCTTCTTGGTCAGCTTCGCCTAGTTTACTAGCTCGCCAAATTTTTAGCCGGTCCCAAGACTTTTTAAAGAGCGAGGATTGGGTGAGGGGCTAGCGACCTTACCCCACAAAACCAATCAAACTGCTACAGAAACTTCAAAGCACAATAAAAGTAATAAAAAAAAACAGAAACATAGATTATCACTGGATAACGGAGACATGTTTCTAAGATATATAATTTTCCAAATAATATAAATTTTCAGAAAACTTCATTTCTTATTTGTTAGGAAGAGGCAAAACACATGCAATTATCAAGTTATTATCATGTCGTTGACATACATTTGTTTCTGCTTTCTGATCGGACGCTTGCACAATTCCAAACTCTCAACCGGATTGGTTGATTTCCAGTCTACCTTATTTTTGTATAAATACAGTCACTTTGTCATAAATAAATGATTCTGGTTTTACCGCTGATTATCGCATGTTCTGCTTTACCAGTTAAGTGGGCACTAGTCAGTAGTTAAGCAGTTACCTCGAGACAAAGATCTAGCATCATAACATTATTAACCCCTTCTCCATTGTACTCATAACATATAACAGCTATTAGAAACTAGAGTACAATTGTATGAATAACAGTATTACGACAGATAAGCTTTATAACAGTTCTAAGCGTGTCAAAAAAAATTTACTGTGTGATTTAAATCAGTTATTTTCTTGTACGTCACAAAAGTGATTGTTTCTAATCTTTATGTATTATCATTTCCTTTCATACTCTAGTATGAAAGGAAATGATAATACATAAAGATTAGAAACAATCACTTTTGTGACGTTAATATTTATGGCCATTTTAGACACAGAAAGTGAATGTGCATCACTTTGATACATGGGCTAGACTTACAGATAGTTAATCCTATTGTCTGAGATATTGATAGATTAGTTAAAGCTTAGTATATTACCATTCATTCTTTTTTTTGTATTGACCTGGTTTTCACAGTTCATCGGTTGGAGTAAAATGGCGCTGTTCATTTACTAACCTACTTATTGCTTTTCCTAGCAACTTTGAGGCGACTCCATTGTGGAGGAAGAATAAATTTTTCTGAACTTTTTATGTATAACCAGCCACACAGAAGCAGCTAAGTATGCATTCATGAATATGCTATTTAGTCATTTTCTTTGTTCTATTCTTATCGAGTGCGTCGGTGGCATAACGGTTAGGACGCCCGCCGAATATGCACATGGTCCGGGGTTCGATCCCCGGCCGGCGCACTGCTTTACCTCGCTAAGCCAGAAATAATCCTGGTAGAGAGGAAAGCTTGGGCATGAGGCTGGTAACCACATCCTATAAAAATAAACACTGCTACAGAAACTTCAAGCCTCTAGCTTGAAGCCCTATGTTCCACTGGGGAATGTGGAGGAGAAAAATTCCTGTCGAGTGCACATTTTGAAACCACTACCACAGTCAGGCTTCCATCTTTTAATTCAGCCCCATTCCGTTGCATATGACTGCTTAGCTTGTGTATGTGTGTGTGTGTTTGTATGAAACTGTTGAGATGGTTGATTCCTACTAGAACATTTCTCGTTTTGAAAGTCTAATATGTATTTTCAAGTTGGGGAAAAATGCTGTCACAACTTGTTTTCACGCACAGTACTGCAAATGCCACAACAGATATTTCAGCTGTGCAAAACAGCTGAAGTGACACTTCTAAAACTTCTGACATGGTGATAGCATTCGTCTAGACATTTCATAGGAAAGTAAATTCGTAACTGACCGCCCTCGCCTTATCTATACAAGTATACTGATATGAAAGTGCGGTAGGTTTCAAATGCAGAGATTTATATGCTTCCCTGTATTTTTGAATTAGCCCACATGTGTTGCAAACCAAGTCTTCATAGTCGCATAGGAATAATAAGAATATAGGAGGCAATCTTTTTCATTCAGCAATTAAGATTTAATTAGCCGGAAAGAAGATATAAGTTTATATTGAAGACTAAATCCACTTTTACTTTAGATAAGAAAAATTATGAACTTACGCGAAAATTGAATATTATCTAAAACTAATCCAGAAGTGATATTCAGCTTTCTCGATCCCTCAATGAAAATCATTGTAATCTCAGTGTCATTTAGTCGTGAAGCTTTAAGTGACGTGAATTCCATTGTAACTATCACCAATACACCTTGATCCTTATTGATTAATTGCGAGGGGTTGGCAGATTGGACAAATGTTGTGTTAAGGATATCGAATAGTAGCGAAATTTCCCTATCACGCAACCGTAAACTTCTTGAAATCTAATGGTAGGAAGGAAATATTGAAGGAAAATTAACCTGATAGTGAAATATTGTGTAAAAACTGAGTGATCTCCAGTGTTAATTCAATTATTTTTCCACCCATTAGTTGTATGAATATCTTCCCCTTAACAAAGATGATTACTAGTACTCATATCGTAAAATAAATGGCATCTTTTCAAGAAATCAATTTTAGTTAACAATGGATACTTGTAGTAGTAATGTGGTGTGTGCTACTGGTGAGATTTATCACTAGTATACAAAGAGAGTTTCATCGGCGTAGAAATATTAAATAGGTGAGGGACAGATTTGGTGTTAGAGAAAACAAATAATGCAGAGCTGTAGAGATACATGAGAGAAGTGAAAGAAACACAGAGAAACATAATATGAAGGTCAGAAGTAGCACAACACGGAAGATCTGTGCAACTAGTGATTTGAAGATGAGGTGCACATAGTTTCGCTAACTGGAGATAACAAATTCCAAATACCAAATCTCTCGTCTTCTACCGTTACAGTAGTACCAGACAGTGGTAGAATTAGTCCTGCGAGTTGTTGTCACATAGTTTGAAGATACAGTCATTCTGAAACACAGAACCATAAGTATGCTGCTACACCTACTTAATATTAGCAAGTCCATGGTTTTATTGGTTTACTGTCAAAATTTTGTAGACTGTAATCATGCACGTTTTTTTATAGCAAGTATCTTTACTCTTCACCGTCCAATGATAGTAATGAGTGACTTAACACACAGTCTAGTCATCGTCTTCCTATTGGGCTTTTGAGTATTTCTAATTGTCTGTCTTCCTAATTTGGGTGGTTTCCATACCACTTGAAAGTTGTGCATAATATGAAGCAGAAATATGTAAAATAATTTACGTTATATTTTCTATTACACAGAACATGCAATGGTTCGAGACCAGAAATCAAAGGAAATAGAATTACCAAATTAATAAGGCTCATATTTGATTTTTATACGTGTTTTAATTCTATAAAAATGTGACAAGTACCGCCCCCTGATAAATTCATCACTTATTTGGATTTTTCTAATTAGATATAACCCACTGTAGTTTCTGAAATCCGGCTGCGTGATTTCAGTGAATTTGACGTAACTGGGATTTACTAGCAGTTGTTAATTTTATGAGGATTATGATAAAAATATCGATATTAGTAAGGAAACCGTTAACAATCAAAAACAACTAGATAGGCGTAAATCCTATTTTTGGAGTCTTTAGCCAAGTTACGAGGTGATCAGTTTTCTTTCTCAAAAAAAGAATGAAATTTAATGACTCATAGTTTTCAAATTATGTAGATCTGCCAGTCTATGCCAACTTCCCCCATACCCGGTTGAACGGACTCCATTGTTCATCAACAGCTTATTTTGTGAAGAATTTCGGATGTTAATATGAATGGGATATTACAAAAATCATGTGATCTTGTATGCAGATGGTTATTGGAAGATGTTGATGATGATGCCATGATGCGAATCTATCAGGATTTAAAAATAATAAGTTGTCGTTCATCAAGAATCTAATCCGATTATGAAGGGTAGGAGTACTTTAGACGCTGCAGCCGTCTTACATAACAGTATTGTCTCATCAATAAATAAAGGTGCCAAATATGTCCACTGCACGTTTCTTGAGTTCACTTCTGCTTTCGACTTTGTACCTAGATGTCTCATGCTAAATAAGCTCTCCATGACACAAACCGAGTCCTGGGTCACTAACTGGTTGCATTCCTACTTTTCAAACAGAATGCAGTACACTGTATACAAAGGCGAATCCTCCTCTGCTGTGCTCACTGAAGCTGGTGTCCCCCAAGGTGCTGTACTCTCCCCACTTCTCTTTTCATTCTTTCTGCATGATCTAACATCTTCAAATGACATTAACTTTGTCAAATATGCTGATAACCTAACTGTATCTTTACCTGTCAAATGTCAAAGTGACTGCTCTAAACTAAATGGCTTCTTATCAGAAATCAGCCAATGGTCCAAGGAAAACGGTCCCATCTTAAACCCCTCCAAATGCCAAACAGTTAATTTCACGTTTAGGCACAAATCTGACCTAAACAAACTGGTGGTTAGCATTCACGAGGTGTGGAGCATCGATGGCACTGAAATAGAAACCAAGTCGGAAATTAAATACCTAGGTGTTACTCTATCTTCTGATCTTTCCTGGTCGTCTCATATCTTGACGATTTCTAAGAAGATATTCCGTCTTACCTTCTACATCAAGAAGTTAAGACATTCTGGTGTAACCCAACCCTTACTACTACAATTTGTTAGCTCCTGTATTCTGCCTATTATTCTCTATTGTTCCCCCTTAGTCTTTCCTGGGCTATTGAAGAAAGACTATACTTTATTACGTAGGATGTTAAAGTTTGTCAGCAGGGTAAGCAGTTAGCCACTTAGCCAGCTTGTTAATATTCTGGTGGACAGGCACATGGACTCATGTGAAAAATGGGCGAAATCCATTTTATCTGACTCACAACACTCTCTACATTCACAACTTTCCTCATGTATCTCTTCAGGGAAAACCAGAAGCCTATATAGGAAACTATATGCCCACACTAGCAAGTACAAAAACTCATCCATACCCTACCTAGCTCGTGTTCTGTGCGATAAAGAAAGCATTAGGCGTGAAAACTTTAACTTATTAAATAGTCAGTAGAACGACTGGATCTCGTCTTTCCAACTCACATCATTTACAGGTACGTTTTATCTCTACCTTTATTTTCTTCTCTTTCTGTATTTATTTTTGTTATGTGCTGTTTTGTTTCTCTCTTCCTTGCAAACTCTACTTAAAACATTCTTGTTCGTTCTTTCACACTCTGTATATCTCGACCACTTTGCTATCGCTTACGCCAGTAAATATGCTAGTAGTATCTACTTTTCTAACACCTTCAAACACTTTGTTTAAATTTTGGCTTTGCTACCGACATGCTAATATGTTGTTGTCAAAACTGACTGAGATAATTTTAATCTATGTAGAAATTTATTTATTATTAACGTACTAACTGAATGCAATATTCTAGTAAAAATGCTGAGAATTCCATTCTCTATCACAAGTACTCATTTGGAATAAAGCTATTATCTTATCTTATCTTCTTGTCGCAACCAGATTGCTCTGGGTTTAGTCCTTCACGATGTCTATAATATTCAATGTCTAAGAGTTCCACAAGGTGGAATGATATATTCTTCTCAGTGACCAATACATTTTAATGGTGTATTTATGAATAAATTTCCCAGAGAAATTTCCCAACCAGTAAACCTCTAGGTGACTTATAATTTCTCAGTAATATGCACTGGAAACCAACGAAGCGAATAATGATGATTCAAGCAAACGGTGTACGAAAAAAAAAAAGCAGAAGTTCGAATTCAAGATCCATTGAATCAGGTCCCAGTGGCTGAATGGTATACGAGCTTGCCTTGTAACCGGAAGGTCCCGGGTTCGAATCCCAGTGGGTGCGTACTGCCGATGATTCGGAAACTAGGATGAAACAGCAGCTGTCCAGTACTCCCTGGTTTTCAATGGTTCTCTAACTGATATCAATCCGTGATCAACCCGTAAAACATAACTAATGCTTACAAACCAAACTATAGAAAGTTAATCTGATGCTGGCTAGTGACTTGCTACAGGTTGGAGTTTCCTGAGTTCTAGTGAGAAGTCGTGACCATTGAGGTCCAATTAGATGTCACGTGTGTGGATGGATGTCCCACCAACGACAATGGTTGGGGTCGCGCTAAATCACGAATTAGTAGAAGTTAGAATTCACGAGCGATTGAATCGGGTCCCAGTGGCTGAATGGTATACGAGCTTGCCTTGTAACCGGAAGGTCCCGGGTTCGAATCCCAGTGGGTGCGTACTGCCGATGATTCGGAAACTAGGATGAAACAGCAGCTGTCCAGTACTCCCTGGTTTTCAATGGTTCTCTAACTGATATCAATCCGTGATCAACCCGTAAAACATAACTAATGCTTACAAACCAAACTATAGAAAGTTAATCTGATGCTGGCTAGTGACTTGCTAACGGCTGGAGTTTCCTGAGTTCTAGTGAGAAGTCGTGACCATTGAGGTCCAATTAGATGTCACGTGTGTGGATGGATGTCCCACCAACGACAATGGTTGGGGTCGCGCTAAATCACGAATTAGTAGAAGTTCGAATTCACGAGCGATTGAATCGGGTCCCAGTGGCTGAATGGTATACGAGCTTGCCTTGTAACCGGAAGGTCCCGGGTTCGAATCCCAGTGGGTGCGTACTGCCGATGATTCGGAAACTAAGATGAAACAGCAGCTGTCCAGTACTCCCTGGTTTTCAATGGTTCTCTAACTGATATCAATCCGTGATCAACCCGTAAAACATAACTAATGCTTACAAACCAAACTATAGAAAGTTAATCTGATGCTGGCTAGTGACTTGCTACAGGTTGGAGTTTCCTGAGTTCTAGTGAGATGTCGTGACCATTGAGGTCCAATTAGATGTCACGTGTGTGGATGGATGTCCCACCAACGACAATGGTTGGAGTCGCGCTAAATCACGAATTAGTAGAAGTTCGAATTCACGAGCGATTGAATCGGGTCCCAGTGGCTGAATGGTATACGAGCTTGCCTTGTAACCGGAAGGTCCCGGGTTCGAATCCCAGTGGGTGCGTACTGCCGATGATTCGGAAACTAGGATGAAACAGCAGCTGTCCAGTACTCCCTGGTTTTCAATGGTTCTCTAACTGATATCAATCCGTGATCAACCCGTAAAACATAACTAATGCTTACAAACCAAACTATAGAAAGTTAATCTGATGCTGGCTAGTGACTTGCTACAGGTTGGAGTTTCCTGAGTTCTAGTGAGAAGTCGTGACCATTGAGGTCCAATTAGATGTCACGTGTGTGGATGGATGTCCCACCAACGACAATGGTTGGGGTCGCGCTAAATCACGAATTAGTAGAAGTTAGAATTCACGAGCGATTGAATCGGGTCCCAGTGGCTGAATGGTATACGAGCTTGCCTTG